TCGTTGCTGAGTTCGTATAGGAATCCTGCTCATGAGGAGGCTGTTGCAAAGATAATTCGAGAGGTATGTGGTCCGGGGGTGGCGGTCAATTGCTCGAATGAATTGTTGCGGGAAATGGGCGAGTATGAGCGGACGGTCACGACTTGTACCAATGCTTTGGTTAAGCCGGTGATGCAGAATTACTTGTGCGAGCTGTCCGAACAGTTGGCGTCGGAGACAGAGGCGATTCGGGTGTTGAAGAGTGATGGTGGCTTGACGAGTGTCGGCCTGGCCGGGGAGCTCCCTGTGAATATCTTGATGTCTGGGCCGGCTGGAGGAGCCAAAGGCGTGGCTGATGCGGTCACTCGAAGCACCCCGTACAAAAACCTTATCACTCTCGACATGGGAGGGACTTCGACGGACTGTGCGCTCATTCTGGAGGGAAAGCCGCGTATCCGTCGGGATACTGTGGTCGATACCTTAACGGTTCGTGCACCGGCCGTGGATATTCATACCGTTGGGGCTGGAGGTGGCTCAATCGCAACATATATGGAGGTCACTGAGACCTTGCGGGTCGGGCCAGAGAGTTCTGGGGCAGCGCCAGGTCCAGCGTGTTATGGAAAGGGAGGGACCGAAGCGACGGTGACTGATGCAAATCTCGTTCTGGGATACTTACCCCATACCCTTTTGGGTGGTGAATTTTGCTTGGATACAGAGGCAGCAAAGACCGCGGTTCAGAAACTTGCCACCACAATGGGACTACCTCTGAGACAGACGGCAGAGGACATAATCAACATTGTCAATGAAACAATGTATGGTGCTGTTCGATTGGTCTCTGTCGAACAGGGATATGATCCAAGAGACTTTGCACTCGTTGCGTTTGGCGGTGCTGGGCCACTGCATGCCAATGCAGTAGGAAAGCTTCTAGGTGCATGGCCAGTCATCATACCTCCGTCTCCAGGCATCCTGTGTGCACAGGGCGATCTGACAACCAAGTTGAGTCATGAACAGTCCGTCACCTTCACTCGGATGGTGAGAGATACCTCGTCGGAGGAACTGCGACATCAGGTGGAAGAACTGGAAAAGCACTGCGAACAGATAATGCGAGACTCTTGTGGTTCAGACTGGCCTATGCCATTGGTTGCCACGTACGAGGTTGATGTCCGATACAAAGGGCAGGCCCTGACCATCACCATTAATCTCTCGCACGACGAAAGTCAACTTGACGACCAGGCTTGGCGCCGTGTGTTACAAGAAGTTTTCAATAAAAAGCATCAGCAGCAGTTTGGCTACTGTCTTCCTGACTTTGAACTCGAGCTGATGCGTATCGGCGTAATACTCGAGGACGGCTCATCAGATGTGGAGCTGACAGTAGTCCCTAAAGCAGAATCTAGCGAGCCTCCATCCTCGGGCGTCATTGGCACGCAGGTTATTATTATCGAGGGCCGAGAACAGCTAGCGATAGTGTGGGAGCGAGAGAAAATCACGCTCGAAGGTATCCGGGTTACAGGACCCTGTATCATCACAGAGATGGACAGTAACACACTGATTCTTCCCGGTTATTCAGGTGAGATCGATCGCCTGGGTAATATTCTCATCCTGCCAGTTGCAGAGCAACCACCCCCGACGACGCAACATACCTCGGAATCAGCAGCAGAATTGATGCGCAGTAATCCGCTAATCGCTACTCTGGTATCCTCTTCACTGGCATGCATCCGTGGCGAAATGGACAAATTGATGCTCCGCTGCAGCATGTCGCCTGCTATCCGCGAGCAGCAAGATGAATTCAACGTCATCACAACAGCAGAGGGCAAGATGCTCGTGGGCCAATTCGGCAGTTTCATCAAAGAGTTCCTTGGGGTGTGGACGGGAAGTATCGAAGAAGGCGATGTTTTCATTACCAATGACACATACATGGTCAAGGGGGCTGTCAGTCACTTGAACGATGTGATCATCATCCTTCCCATCTTCCATGAACATCGGTTGATCGGCTGGGCTTCTCAATTCGGACACTTGACCGATGTTGGCGGCATGGTTCCGGGGAGCATGTCCATCAACGCCACCTCCATCTATGATGATGGAGTCCAGGTTCCATGCATCAAGCTCTACTCCCAAGGGGTGATGAACAGCGACCTGATTGATCTGTTATGTCGAAACTCCCGCCAACCGGCGTGGTATCGATCGGATCTGACGGCTCTGGTGACGGCATGTCGCATGGCAGCAACGCGCATCTCCGAGCTGGCCACCCGCTTCGGAACCGAGGTGTATCTAGCTGCCTGTCAGGAGCTTCTACATCGGAATCGAACTGGTCTAGCCAAGATTGTTGAGCGTCAATTCGACGATAAACTCAGCACATTTACCGACTTCGTCGACGACGACGGCCATGGCGTCGGACCCTGGGCCGTAACATGTTCGATGCAGAAAACCAGCGCTGGGGGGTTAAGGTTCGACTGGAGTGGTACTTCTCCGCAGAGCGAGCACAGCATCAACTTTTATCTCTCGGAGACCATGTTCAAGATGCTAGTGGGGTACTACCTCATTGCCGCTGCCGCACCGGGAACAGTCATCAACGACGGGTTTCACGACCTCATTGAAGTGCATATCCCCGAAGGCACCGTTCTAAAGCCAGTCCGGCCTGCCCCAATTTCTTGTCGCACTCATTTCCTAGGCCGGACCATGGACGTGATCCAAGCGCTAATCGGGCAGAAGAACGATGCCTATGTAGCGGCAGCTGGGTTCAGCGACTCGCCCCATTTCTTCTACTCCGGATACTATCCCACTGGAGAATGGTATCAACTGTATCAGATTGGCTTTGGCGGGGTTCCAGCTCGAGCAGCAGGCGATGGACTGGACTGTCACTGCTTGTTCCCCGCCATCAAGTCAATTCCAACGGAGAGCATCGAGCTGAATTACCCCCTTCGGATTGAGGCAAACGAGAGCGTCGCGGACAGTGGTGGCCCGGGATACTTCCGAGGAGGCAATGCACAACGAACCCTCTATCGATTCCTAGCGAGAGGGGAGATCAGTTTGCATGATGATCGGTGGTTCACGAAGCCATGGGGTCTCAAAGGGGGAAAACCGGGACAACGTTCGCGGAAGATCTTATATCGGTACTCTCGCAGTGCCGATAGTCCAGTTACGGAGACCCTGCCGTCAAAATGCGACCATGTACGTGTTGATCCAGGGGATTTGTTAGAATGGGTGACGTGGGGAGGTGGTGGGTTGGGTGATCCTCTTTCTAGACCCGCTGAGCGAGTTGCAATGGATGTCCGTCGGAAATTGGTGACGGTGGAGGGTGCACGCAACGGGTATGGTGTTTTGCTCGATAATGATGGGATGGTTTGTACTCTGGAAACAGAAGAATTGAGGGCAAATATGCGGAGATTTTTGACAGATGGCATCATCTATGACCGCGGAGGCAGTCTGGACGAGCTGCAGAAGTCATGTTTACAAGAGACGGAGCAGCAAGCCCCGACTCCACTGTGGGAAACTGAGCCATATGGACCACACATGGGCCTGGAGTATGTGAAGCAGTGGTATGCCACGAAGCAGGAGGAGAGGGGGTGGGAATTGGAGTAATGCTTCATGGGGGCAGGTGTCACTGCATGACAATTCACCCGAGCTCCTTTATCATCCAGGCATTTGCATGCTTGGCCCTCAAATTCCTCATAGAAGTTGTCGTATCACAGATTGTTATTCGATAATATTTTGTAGTTTTGACAAGGCCACATGGTCAACATTCTCGTAATAGCACCGTGCAGTGGCTTCATTGGTTTGTTTCACCACCATTCAGCTTAGGGATCTCTCTAGTCCGCTGAGACTCCGGTCTCTAGAGATCTCTGCACGATAGCGATGGGCTGGTTCATGATTCCCGGCCCAAAGCCGAGCTTTCTCCGTAGCGCACATTTTGTTTGTACAATGGGTTCAAGTACTCGGTGTGATTCGGCTGCTGTAGCTGGGTGGGCGACTATTGCCGCAGGCGGTGTCCCTGTTAATGCCTGGGACAGCCTGAAAACGCCACAGCTCGACTACCACCTTTCATTTATTTCTCTGCTATGAGCAGACAATTGGGGTTGAGACTGGTGTTTTCATTGTATTTGTGCTTTTGTATACATATAGTTCGGGGGTATCATTCTTCCCATTGTTAACTTACTAGCACTATAGTTTCCAACAAACAAGAGCCCTACCCGTTTATATATAATGAGTAGATGATACCGAGGATAAACCATAGTGATCTCAACTATCAGTATTTAGACAAGTAGTCCTGAACGAATAATAACTGTCTATTAGATAAGAAAATTCTATATACACCCTATCTCATTCACTAACACCAACCCGCCCCATAGGACCCCCAACACCTCTTCTGGAAATCGTCGTGGTTTCCAACCCACAGACGAGAAGGCGGCAATTTAGTGGAAGTTAACATATGCTAGAGTACAATATAACCTGTTGCATTAAGATGTCTAGTACATACGACCACAGGGTGTGGAAAACAGGGCTTCCCGTCCGCTCAGCCGTACTTAAGCCACACGCCGGGAGGTTAGTAGTTGGGTGGGTGACCACCAGCGAATCCCTTCTGTTGTATGTTTTTTCTTTTTTTGGTTTTCTTTTTCTCGCTTAATCGTTCCTCTTTGTGTAGCACTTTTAACGAGCTATAAGCATCATTGAAGTTCTTGGTTTGTCTGGGGGATGTGGTTGGATCAATCGCACGAATCAGCCTTCACATCTCTCTGGTTCTATACAAACGCGGGTGACCCGATTGGCAGCTGAGAAGGATAGCCGGCTTCGATGATAGATTAAATACTTGACCCGCAAGAGACATAATCGCAAAATTCCGAATTATAAGACAGAAGATACAATTATGAAGTCTAACATACATAATGGTTCTATCTAGCTTGGATATTTCGGTCATATCTCCGTCTCCGAAATGTCTTCCCACTCATTCCTCTTGATACACAACGACATGAGCACTCATCCAGTTTCTACCAACACTACCTGGGGCATTATTTTAGCTATGAATATCAGCATTGTATCCTGTTCTCTATAAATTCTGCATTGAAGGGGTAGTTCGTGTAGCCATCCTCTTGCATGGGCGTATAGAAACTCTCTCGGTGGTAGGGATTTAGAGGGATACTTTGACGAATGCGAAAAGGCAAGTCATGATTGGCGATAAAGTGCCGCCCAAAGGCGATTGCGATCTGGTGATCCTTGTATTCTTCTTCCATGGCAGTTTCAACGTTCTGTGGTTTATATCCACCGGCAACAATGACAGGCGCCGAATTTCCCCAAATATCGAGTAGAAACTTGATACTGCCCTCCTTTTCACAGTCTATGTTATTGATGACACGAGACTCAATGACATGGAGATAAGCCAGTTTGAGCTGTTGCAGGCGCTCCACAAAGTAGGCGAATTGAGGCACCGGGTCGACCATCTTCATGCTCTGCCATGTGTTCCAAGGACTAACGCGAAAGCCAACACGCTCAGCGCCGATAGCATCGGCTACTGCTTTGGCGACCTCCAAGCCGAATCGCGCTCTATTTGGGATACTACCACCCCACTGGTCGTTTCTCTTATTCGAAACGTCTTGGAGAAACTGGTCGACCAAATATCCATTAGCCCCGTGGATCTCAACGCCATCAAAACCAGCACGAATAGCGTTTTTCGCGGCTGTTGCAAAGTCACCAATGATCTGTTGCACCTCATATTCGTCCAGCTCTTTGGGAACGGGCATGCCGGGCTCAATGGGAATAGGACTAGGAGCATGCAGAACATAGCCACCGTCTGCTTGCAATTGTGCCGGGTCAGCGGCTCTGCCGACAGCAATTAGCTGACAAAAAAATGAAGCTTCGTTTTTTATGTACTGCATCGGTAATCTTCTTCCAGCCCTTAATTTGTCCTTCGCTCCATATCCCGGGCGCATGAGGAAGTCCGCCGGCTGATGGTGAGATTATTGTTGCTTCGGCTATGATCATGGTGCCTGGGACTGAAGCACGTTGCACATAATAGGTTGTGGCCATAGAAAGTGGGACATGTTGCGAATCCGCGCGAAAACGGGTGAGTGGTGCCATTATGACTCGATGATCGAGATTGATCGTGCCGACCTGAAGGGGCTCGAAAAGTTTGGAGGACATGTTGGCCGTCTTGGACGTAAATCCGTCGTGATGTCCCAATCGTGAGGCGAGTGAATTCGTTAGATAGTTGGGAATAATTGGGATGTGTTTTCAACTGGAGATGGCATTTCTGTAGACTTGTGTTGATTTTCACTATATATGTAGAAATTGCAATTGGGGATGGTGGAGAAAACGCCTCTGTCTCCAACAACACCTCCACGCGAATATATTTGACTCAGTAATCGTAGCTGATAAATCAAGGTCCAATGATTATATGGAGCTGCCATATTTACTCTGAATCAACAGTCTTTTTCATAGTATCGTCTCTATGGAATCGGTCGGAGAGGGTTCTTATAAACGCCGATGTAGTTATGATTACAACTCCGAAGCTATTCCAACCGATATCGAATCCAATTCCGAAAAATCATCTACTGGCACCATAAGACCATGTGCCGCAAGATTTTCGAGATGTTTCTTTACAGATATTCTCTCACAACTTAGCAAACTGATTTGTCTAAAATCAAGCATTCTTTGCCTCGACTAACATAGAGCGTTGCCAAATTCTTGGTGGCCTTTAAGTGCCCAAAAAAGACTGCATCAGGGTTGGCGAACCATTAGATAGAGAGACCCACTTCTTTCGGGCCCACATCTTTGGAGGTACTCCGGCCCTCTTGGAGGTGATTATAGATTTGGCTAAACCCGCAGCTATGAGGTGCTCACAGAGATGGAAAGTAGGCCATCAAAGCTCTGTCTGGTGCCCAGACACACTAGGTATTCCTAGCAATATTGTATTTGGAGTTGGGACTATGCCCTCAAAATGGTATCTAAGATGGCTAGTCTCCCCCCATCACCGGCCTTACTGCCCACAATCGCAGTCAATTTGCGCTGGATACTCCATTTTACAAGTTGAGAACAGACGTTCCTATGATGATATTGTAGAAATTAAGGACTTGCCCCGGTGGATACGACGACAGATGGAAGCTAACAGGCGGATCCACATCAAAACTTCCTCTATCTCCAACCATCTCCAATAGCACCTCCAATAACACCTCCACAGAGAGATAGCAGCTTCATATTTATAAAATTCTAATGACAAATCAAGCAAGCTCTGTAAGGTGAGAACATATTCCTCAGTTGAAACCGTATCAAGCATCTAATCCTAGTTTGGAGGTAGTTCACCCCAAACTGACGACCCATGCTCGCAAGTAGGTCGGATCGTGCCGTTTTCTATTCGCTCCATATGGTAGTCGGCCCGACCAAATGCCTATCTCATGGATACGCAACAGCTTCCTCGACCAGACTTTGCGTCTGATTTGTAGACCATGCTGGCTGGCGCACGCCGAAAAGCAAGAGGGGTGGGGAGATACAGTCAATATTAGTACCGTACCGCTCCACAACCAAAATATCATGTGCGTGGGATGGTATTTTGCTGATGATGGATGGAACCCTCAGAGAAGGACCGGTTTCCATTGGATTGTCCCTGCAATTGGGATTATCATCTACCATGGATGTGCGTTGATTATAATGCAGTGCGTGTTCCTGTACATACCCGCTTGTCATCCGCACTATGCGGGGAGTGACTTTGCTGGCTTTATTCGGAGCGCTGTTGCGTGTGGCACTGTCTTGTTCTCGCGACCACTTTACGAGAACTTGGGCTTAATGCCCGGGTATAGTCTCCTGGCTGGGCTGACTGTCGGTTGCGTGGTCGGGACCCATGCCCTGTATCTCTATGTGGAGGTGTTGAGGCGAGGGGCGAAGTTCAGTCGCGAGTGTTGATGATAGACACTTAAATATGTAGAATTCGCTTGGGTTCTAAGAGCATATAGACAAGCTCAGTAAGCTCTATATCCGTTCGGGCGCAGCTGTCTCGAAACGGAGAAAGCTCTGCTCACAAGTGTTGGCATAGAGGTCCAGTCCATCACTAACAACCTCAAATAATGACCAATGTCCGTTTCCCCTGATCAGTCGGGCCCATAACTTTACAACGGCAATTCCTAGGTAAGAACAATCTGAGAGATTTGAAGGCCTGGACCACAAATCATCGTCTGCTGATGTTCGTCCTTCTTCGACAATATCGCTGATCCAATTCACGAGACGCGCTTCGTGTGCTGAGGATACGTGTGAGCAAACCAAGAATTCCATAAAGAGTATTGGATAAACCAAGGGCTGGGACCCCTTAGGATAAAAAACCTACCATTTAGTGGTCTTCTGGTCTGGCTGTCGGCGATACAAAAGAGCCATTTACTGAGAAAGATCGCAAATTCCAGTCCACAAAGTGAGTGTTGTACGCTCCAGACGAACGCATGGCTTCGAGCGACAAAGTTTACCCCTAATTTGACAGGGATGCTGAGGGCATGCGTCGCATGTAAAATTGCCGGGAGAAGATGGGGGCCGGGTGGCAAACGGGGTATTAGTAGAAGTCGCTTTGCTATGTCTGTAGCGTCGTGGGACTGGAGAATTCTATATTAGCCCAGATCTGGGCCAAGCCGAATATACGCAACACCCAGCAGAGCAGTTGAAGTGTATGTCACAGGGCCATTCGGATTTCGGGGGTCCAAGCTCGATTCAGGTGCTCGTTGCCATAGAGATGTCCATGCATGAAGAGAATTACTGGCAGAAAGGGAAATAAGTCAGCGTATCGGCCGAGGTATCTTTTGAACAGATAGTGGATCACATACCGCATGACATTCTTTTGCCCATTGAGTATGATATTATTCGCATCGTTATATGGACCAAGTGTATGATATGCGAGTAAGATCCGCTGTATAATGGCGTGTAAGATGATGTAGTTTGACAACGGAGAAGGTATCGGCAGTGTATTTGTCGAATTGGTCTCTGGTGTGTTCTTTATAACGTGACAAAGAGCATCTTGGAATGACATCTGCTCCCGATGGCCAGGCCTTCGAGCAAGCCTCCATTTCTGTTCGTTCGGAGCAATCCACTCCAGGCTGCTACATGGGAGACGAACATTAATTTCATCGGCCAGGATGTCTGGTGGAGTGCCAAATGCAATGGACTGCAGGTTTAGAAAAGCGAAAGAAAGTAATTTTACCCTCCTGTCAATTTCTTGCTGGATCCACAGATGCCAGCCGCCGGCATCGGCAAATAAAGACTGTTCAGTCTCTTTTAATTGACACTCTCGAACGCATCTGGCCAAGAGGCTCTGGAGATTGAAAGCCTCACGATGTATGCTTTCCTCGCGTTGCCAGGTAGCGAACGCAATAAGTAGAAAGGCACACCGGGCTTCACGCATTGTTCTACGATACCGCAGCGAGTCACGAGTGGAGGTTTGCTGGCTTGGTGACGATGCGCTTCTTCCCGAGGCATCGATAGGACCTTCCGTATCTTTCCATTCTTTCCTGCTCGCTCTTTGGTGCAGTATTTCCTTAGCCGCATGGAATAAGAATGCTGCTTTGCGATTCTCCTGCCGAGATTCAGCGCCCAGAGCACACATAGCTAGTAACATCTCCGGCTCACATTCGTCTATCCTGAATGTTGGAATGTGCACCATCGGTAGGTGAGGATAAAAACCATCAAAAAACCCATTGATGAATCGTGATAGCGAGTGACATGATGGTAGAATATTAGCTGCGTCAACCGAATGGCACACCATCAATGCTCGAGAGAGGCGTTCTCTCTGTTGATTCGTAACCACGAGAATTGGGAAGGTAAGGACTCCGAACTCCGCTGTAAGCCGTGCTTAGTACTTGCAAGTGATGTGTCAAATATCTCGCACAAGAATCATACCGACGGCTTCTCTGTCAGTGGGAAGCTTGCTTAACGTTTGCTCTACGCCTGAAGGATCACCATTGGGTAGGTTGGTGATGGATGATGCTGTTGGCATATTATTGAACCCAAGGTCTCCAGTATATATTTGGATGCTGGGCTCAGATGGGAAATACCAGTCGTCGTTGAGTCCCAGGTTGTTATTGAATATGTCTAGGTCTTGGAAAATAGAAAGATCCTGGGTATGAAACAGTAGGTCGCCTGTATAGTTTCAGTAATTTAAAAGGGTTCTCAAAAGCTCTGTGGTCAAGATCTATACTTCATCTGACAATAGGGACTTACGTACCTTCGAGCCGTTCTTCTTGGCCTTGGCCAATACGACCGCTTGTACCAGCTGATATATTGAGGGACTCCGTCGGTGCCGTTAATGGAGGTACCATACCCATACAGGGCCCATCTGTACTGGATTGGACATTATTTGGATCGTCAAGCGCAGGTAAGGACGAGAGATGCTGCGATGATGGGGTGTTCGGAGCATGGCCAATACTTTGATGACGCTTCAGAAGATCTCGTCGGCTAAAGTTGGCTCCACAATCGCATTTTTACGGTTTCTCGTTAGTGTCTGGGTTTTACTCCTTAGTCCAATGGCCTAGCGCATGCTTTCTGAGCGGCTATACTAACGAATTCGGAGATGTCGTTGGAGATGCTCGTGGCGACGAAAGGATCGCTTGCAGTGAGGACATACCCGGGCTTTTCTTCTGCGCGTTGGGGAGACTGGGATATCATCTACTTCTCTGACATCATCCATATTCAGTACTAGCCCGGGGTTGAAGGCGGCGTGGCGTGAGTAATGTTGATAGAAACAGAAAAGGTTGTTGGTGAACAATTAATCGCTTGGAGGCGATGATGATTGATACACTCATGTCGTGTGATCGCCCAGTTGACATTTCGTGTGATGGGATGCAATGTAGAAGCACAACCAACTTCGAAGATTGATATGGAATGGCCGAGGCCGGAAGGGATGTAACCGTAGGAATTCATATTTCACGACAGGTAAACTTGGGATATCATCGTCTCGTCCTAGGTTCGACTCCGACTTCGTAGAAAGCAATGACATGAACATTCATCCAGATTCCACCAGTACCACGTCGAGCGTTGATATAGAAATAACCCCTGTATTGTATTTAATCTTTAAAAGCTCTGCACTGAAGGGGTAAACCGCACTCTGCCGTTCCTTCACAGTGTCTATTTATGTCTCTGTTTCATATGATGGTTGCCTCGAACGTCCTTTATACGCTGTAAAGGTTAAATGTTCGGTTTCTAGAATTGCTCGATGGAGACAGGCTGAGTCATGAAGATACATTCCGCGTCCTATTTAGACGAATGGGGAAGGGCATTGTGCATCTAACATTGTTCGCACCACAGTCAGCTGATAATTTGCCGCCTCTTGTTCCTGCGTGGTCTGACCAACAACCGAACTCTGGAGATTAGATAGAATCATATACAAACCCTTGACCCTTTTCCTTGACAGAATTGTAAGCCTCGAATTCCATCTCAATGAGTCTAGTTGGGAAGGAGATATATGATGTACCTACCGATGACGGAAGTAGTAAGAAGCGATGAGGAGTGTCACAAGACACCCCCTAAAAAGACCATATCGGGATGCACAGGCCCCAGACACACCCAATATTATAATCGGGCAAGAAGGAGGAGGGGCATGGCGGCGGCGAAGGACAGGTGAGGGCCCGAGATGGGCAGCTGAGGGGAGGCGATTGGAGGGGCGGGTCACAGCACGCGCATCAACGAAGTTCAAATCCATTTCTCGATCTTGAATACGAAGGCAGGATGAGATGTTGAACTAATAGTGGATTCTGTACGTTCTTGACATGATCGATGACTGGATTAGGCACCCGAGTACCCTTGCTCGCATCCAGGTGCCTAAGTATCGCATTTGCGTCGTGTTGGAGGTTTAGAGCGCGTTCTTGAGGGTGTTCAGCTTTTCTCACAGATGTGGCCTGACTGGGCCAGTAGGTCGCATTCAACGCCATCGTAGTGATATCCCGATCACATTGGTATCAAAAAGTAGCGAAGGGAGTTAGGAAAAGTTTATCGAGATTTGAGGCCTCTAGGGCCTTGCGTTGCGGCGTGATTTCAAAAATTAGATTCCTGTGCAAGTTGATGTTTTCAATCGGGGACGCTCACGCCAATTTGCATAGTATAGTGCATCTTCTATTTTCTTGAGGAAGGAGCAGGCTGGATGCAAATTTCTCATAGAGGCAACAGCAGCCGTGTCAAGGCTTTAAGTGGAATTACTGCTGCATGTTAAGTCGCACTATGCAAAGGTGACGTACTCGTGAAGCTCTTGGAATAGTATTGCATCCGCACCGGTCATACTGACATAAAAGGGCTTGGGGCTGTGATAAAAGTAGGTCATCGCGCAGAGATTTCCTACACATAATCTTATGATACAGAGCACAGCAGTTTCGACTGCAAAGCGCTGCCATTTATCTTAACTGAAACTTCTTCCGAAAGCATCAGCATCACGATGGACCATCACGATAGAGAGTTATTGCACTTGTTAATCATGTCAATGTTTATCGGGATCATGTCAATAATACTTCGCGCTGCCATTGGGCTTGATGCATGCCACCGCACAAAGTGAGACACAAATATTCCAAGTTACTAAAATCTGTCTATCTAGGCTCGCACCTATCCAAACCAACTGTTGTACTTACACCAAGGGTTAATTTTTGGCTGCTACTTATAACTGCTGAGGATTTGCCAATGAACGGGCTGGTATAGCGGTTGCCTTCGAGAGAAGAAAGAGTCTGGTATCGGCAACGAGGTGACGACTTACCCTAAGGAAAACCTGATTTGAAGCGGGAATGGAGAAGTGTATTCGATGACAATTACGGAGAGACTAATATGATGCGTCGTTGGCTAGGTCGTTATGCTCGAACGGACAGCGTTTATCTTAGTTTCATCGCAGAGCTCCCGCAGAATCGCATTGTTAGCTTGCTATAGTGTCAAATTCTGATAGCTTGGGATTGTTTCAGTCTTCCGTCCGGAGAGGGTCGGCACTAGAAGGGGCAAATCTGTGATGGACATCGTGTCTCAAAATCACCATTTGCCTTCAAATGTGGGTGGATAAGACCCGCTTTGTAGGGAAGACTTTATTCGTGTTTTTCTCTTCCGTAGCTTTCATTCAACCTCGATTTATAATTCCTATTAGGCTCATCTTTTACCATGTGTACTGAACATGCAGATATCTACCTGCTCATGACGTGGGCTATACTACTCGAGCGATATGTTTAAGGCTACACTCAGCGGCTCTTGAGGGGTTTCCCTCTTACCGACTAATAACGTGGGATACTACATTGACCAGACGCTGCAAGAGCATCCGATGATGTGAAGAAGGCGCTTGCAACTCGAGCGATTGGAGGTATACCTGAAATCTTTCAGGATAGTGGAACTATTTCCTTTAAAGAATTTTAAGAGCGACACCAGGCAGTTCCGTACCTGGAAGTGCGAAAGGACCACAATTGAGACCAGACATCATACTGATTGACAGATATATGTCAGAAGAACGTTTTGGGGTGAACCTAAGGCCCTTGCATATTCACCAGACTTCATTATATTTTCAGTTCCCTCCTGTCCTGCATACCGCTTAATCAATTATTCACTTCCCAAAGTAACCTTCATCTTCCGACTCCATTCCTCCCGCTTTATCCGTAGGAGGATCAAAGGAATGCCACTCAACAGGCAGAAGATACAAGCGGCTGTGAAAGACCATCCGGTTCCAATCGCATCGAAAAGCGGTTGAGCGATGACCGCACTAACACACGACAGGCTGTTCCGCAGCAGATTGTTCACCGCAACGCCGACGGTCGACTTCTTTGGGGTGAACTCTGTCAGCATGGTCATGGTCACGTTGGTAAGAATCATTCCACCGAAGCCATAGAAGAAATTTCCGATCAGCTATATGGTATTATTGTCAGTCAAAGTTATTCTTGGCACGAAATTATGACCAGGGTTCAATGCCGAACTCACCGGCACAAGCCAGAAGACTTGCTTCTCGGCCGTCCATCCCCACCATAAGAGCGCCCCGGGAAACAGGATGCCCGCCATCAGGCAATTTTCCCCTAGCCTATCTACCGGATGCAAAATCAACTCTCCTGCCTCGTTATACCGGCCCTCCTTCCGGGCAGTGCGTGCCATGATTGCATCCTGCCAGCGACCACCGATGATTGCCCCGAACAACAATCCCAGACCCCCAGGGATGTAGGCAACTCCGACAATCACAGGACTCCAGGAGTATGGGGACACGGCAAAGGTATCCTCAATTGAGACGCAAATGAGGTAATAAGTAGCAAACACTATCGCTGTATAGTAGACCGTGATTAGAATAGGCGGGTACTGGAGGAGATTGGCGGCCTCTATGGGCTTAAGGAGAAAATGGACGGCCTCTTTAGCGGGGCTGCTAGCGTTAGCGCGGTGCTCGCGCTGATTTTCTGCTAGGTTTGTGGCTGTTTCTGGTAGACAGAAGACCATCACCATGAATACGGCCCATCCATAAATCACCATGAACCACTGCGTGCTTCGCCAGCCCCAACGCATCGTGAGCGCTCCCCCGATAATGGGGGCAAACATGGGACCTAGCATGGGCCCTAGCATGAAGGCCCCCATGGCCTTTCCACGCTCGTGCGGCTCAAACATGTCGGAGATAGTGCCTGCGCTGACGGATTGGAGGGACGCGCTTGAGGCGCTGCCGAGAAGGCGCATAGCGATGAACATGCCGATATTGGGGCTGATGGCTGCTAGGATACAGAAAAGGCCGAGAAAGAAGAAAGACAGCAGATATACGAGACGGCGACCATAGAGTTCAGCGAAGTAAGACCACCAGAGGGGGGTGATGGCGACGGCAAGGGAACCGAAGGCGATGGACAGGTTGACAACAGATTCGGTGGTATGAAGGTCGGCAGCGATTTCAAGCAAGCAGGCTGTTTAACAACCAACATGTAAGTCTGAAGGCTATCTGAAGAGAGTAATAGAAAGAAGGTACATACGGAACAAGACACCGCTGCTCAACGGAACGACTAAACCACCGGCAGCAACGATGAAGGTCAAAAACCACTTTACTCCGGAGCTGTAGGACCGGGGATCCTGTACAGATGGGACCAAACATAACCATGGAAGAAACCCTATGCGCACCCGCCTGGTGGCATTAGGATCAATCTTTTCACGCTCAGCTCCGAGCTCTGTCTCGATGTTAGGTTGGGCAAGTGTGTCGGCAGAGTCCATTCGCTCGTGGTTTGTCTTGGTTTCCATGTTCATGGTTGCTGGTACTTCGGAGATGGTGTTAAGCTCGTCAGGCATATTAAACAATGTTCTAAATTGCTTTATTCCGTGAGTTTGTATCACTTGTATTCCAAGATAGACGAAGGGGATGCTTCCTTTTCTATGAACAATGAGACCGAGTCCTTCATACTCCTAGGATCCACCTCGGCCGAGGTGTGGGGCAGCCGCACGCTGTCCTCGTACGAGATGTGGGTCCATGTCATCAGGAGGAGTAGGCCACTGGACATAACATCAACAAGTGCCTCGTACGAGGATATATCCATTATCTAAATGATTGGAAGTAAACAGGGACTATGGGGTGATAAGTCACAAGTTGCGGACACGATACACTCCGAACATTCATGCCAATTATTGAGGATGAGTCAAAGCAATGCTTCATTGGAACATCTTCTGATTATCCTACACAGTCACTTGCTGTGCTGTGCGGTGAGTCGAGAGAGCCTCTTTGACTTGATTCCATCGACTTGAGGTTGCCTCTTCGAGTTTTTTCGTGCCGACCTGAATGGCATCCTTAAGGTCATACTCTTGATTGAGGTAAGTACAATCAGACAAACTACATAAGTAAGGTGGTATTGACGAGAGGGTCAAATAGAAATGTATGAAGGATAAGATAGAAAAGTCATGATCACAGTCTAGTAGCTTCTACCTGTCGTTCTTGATCACATCTTTGTATATACATACTTAGCGTAGAACCAACTGTCAAATAAGTCCCTTCATTACACACAAGCCATTAGAGGCTTTCCCTCTAGTCAGAGTGTTCTCGGTGTTAGCTGAATGTTTGCCAAGTACTTGGCGAAAAAACTTGATTCATCCGTTCTATACCGGTCGCCATCCTTGGCTTGACCCTCAAGGTCAACATCATACTGGCTGAGCAATGCTGCCACAATGCTGCGCACCATCTTGCCGCCGAGGTGAACTCCCAGACATTTGCGCGAGCCATACCCGAAGGTCGACAAGTTATACTTCAGCTCGCGGGGATTGAGGCCCTCGAAGCGCTCAGGGCGGTAATCTTTAGTATCCGGTCCCCAGTAAGGATTATTGATGTTGATAGAGTAGGCGTCAATGACGACGCTCGTCTATTGCATGAAGTTAGACTTTTGGTCATCAAAAGAGCCATTAGAATCAGAGGGCTAGAGGTGGCCTTACGTTGGCGGGAATGTGGTAGCCACCTAAGATTTTGTCTTCAGTGCAACGGCCTGCGAGGGAGAAGGCTATCGCTCGGTTAGTCTAAATTTGCAAGGAGGTCATATGGGGGTGGCGGAGCTAGCAAAAGGCAAGAAAACGTACCAGGGATTGGCTCCAGACGAATAGACTCTAGGAAGCACCAGTGCAAGAATGTATCCTGACGCTTAATATACTCGGCCAGATTATCCTGGTGCTCGTCGATCTCCATCTGGAGCTTCTTCTGGATGCGCTTGTTCTCCGCGATGTGCAGGACACAGCCCGTAATCACTGAAGTGGTGACGTCCAGGTTCGCGAAGATAGACTCGGTGAAGGTGTGGATGAGTTGGTCTTCGGTTATGTCTCCATTTTCGACATTCGTCCACAGACGGATGATGGGCAACTCGGTCTGGGTGCGCTTCTGATCCACGACCTCGCGGTTGAAGGTGCGCCATCGCTGGTCGAACTGACGGATCAAGACCCATGCTTTGATCGAGTAGAAGTACTTCAGCAGTCGGCTGCGAGTGAGTCCCTGCTCCACTACCCAGGTCGATAACACCAGGAAAATTTGGCCGATCGCCCAGACTTCCTCCTTCTGAACTTGGGTGAGTGGCCCATAGAAGGTCTCCATCTGCGTGAAAAATGGGTACGACTGCACAGCGCGGTAAGCGTTGACAATGATATTCTCCTTACTGGGGGCGAGGGTCTGCGCAGGAACATGCTGCACGTGGTCCACGGCGCGCTGAAAAATTAACGGCGTGAGCTTAGCCGAACTCGAGAAGTTGACGTAGGGGTCCAGCAGCTTGCGCAAGACCTTCCACTCGTGGCCGTTGATCAGTCCGACCGCATGGCCCATTGCGTAGTTGAAGAGCGCACCAGAGGGTGTGAAGGAAAATTTGCTGTGCTCGCCTTTCCCAGAGAACCAAGCCTCGACGTCTTTAGGGTCGGTGATGACACTGGATTGTACCATGGTGGGGTCAGTCACTGCAACTCAATCTGGAGCATAAGATGTAATACAACACACATTTCAGGCCAAACGCCGTTCCAAATTCGGTAGATTGAACCGTATTCTGCATGCCATTTGGCGCTCATTTGCGAGGGTGCAATAATTTTGTCTCTGGCCTGGCCTTGCGGTAGGAGATATTCGGGACCGGGCATCTGCATTTTGTCGCCGTTCACGGGTCGAACGGCGGACATTCTAATGTAGATTGACTGCCACCAAAGGTTAATGTCAGTCTGCAATCTTGTTCTTTCACGGGTAACGAGCATCTCACATTGAGGTACCATGTCAAGATACGGTTGCCGAAGAAACATGCAATTGCCAGCAGTAAAGTACTCCCGATGAGAACCGATCGCGTTGCGGAGATTGCTAGTGGAATATCGGCGAGGATAGCCATCTTCCAGTGAACGAAAAGACGATTTTATAAAGCAGGAGTAAGAGTATTCGAACTGTTCGAAATGTTTTGAATGCGGAGGACAAAGATCGCCGACCTTCTTAAATACAATTTCATCTGTACACTAAAGAGCAGTTCATCGGCTGTGAGATCGCGGTTCATGGCACAGCTGCCACATGGCTGCTTTGTGGGGGTGGTGGTTGCTGTCGTCGCCGAGCTTATTCTCCGAAAATAGTCAACTTTTTCTATTTCCTCCAGAGGGGGAGGTTGTCATTCATTGGTATGATACCGTTTAATGTAGTGCTGATATACTGCTTTATTTACGTACGCTATGGACCGATGTCAATACAACAGTTATAGAATATGTAGTCCAGTACCGTAAACACATCATGACCAATACATTGGGGTAATCGGTATACGTAGGACCCTATCTTTTCTTAATGATATACTTAGTCACCCCTCCTACGATCCAAGCCACAGAAGGTAGATCAGGACCGCCCCAGCGACGTACCGGAGCTCAAAGTGAGCGAAACCAAGATAATTCCTAGGAATACAGCACCAATACAGCGCAACCGACACTGGCAACAGGTTATCTAATCTCTCTTTCACCGCGTAAACCCCGGAACCCCTATCCCATCCATCATGATAAAGTCCGAAAAATTAATTTCGTCCAGGTTGATCAGCCCCATGAGATCTCCTGTATCGAATTCCAGACCCACCGCTCCCATCGTGGGCGGACCATCAACATTCCCAGCCGATCTCATAATTACGGACTGGTTGTCCGACGGACCACCGGGCCCAGCAGCACCATTCCCAGCAGCAATATGGCCAGCAGATAACCCAGGCCCAGACCCCACAGCCAGATCCTGCTGGAACCGAATACGGTTCGCCAACCAAATGATTGCAGGCCAGGCGCCCGTAGTATGCTGACCGCGGAGCTCGTAAATGGCATTGGCGAGTTGAAGCCCACGCTGACGAAGGTCCGCCCATTCAGGCGCCTGGAATGCCGGACTGCAGAGCTCGGAGAGCACGTAGAGAATGAGGTAGAAGCCTGCGTGAGAGGTTATGTGCCACTGATATGGCTCGCAGGCCGGGCTCGAGGAGATGGCGCACCAAGTCTCTACGGCGGTCGCAGCGTCGACGAATATGCTGTCGAGAAATATTCGGTCAGTAAATCTTGTTAGAACCATTCTCCCCTCCCCGTGCTCCTGGAGGAGACAGCTAAGCGTAAGCTTAGGGCTGTGGGAAAGTGACGGGAGGCGAAAAAGGAGAGGCTCACTTTCGTCTCATAGCAGGACTGATAATCTTCTCGCGATCCTGTCTGGATATTTGCGTCCAGAACATGACCCAAAACTTAGTCTTGAGATGCTGACTGAGATCCAAGGCCATCGACTGCATGATCACCCTCTTATCGCAGTAGCGAATAAGCTCGTCGAGGCCCCTTTCTAAATCACCTGCAAGCCCAGTGGCGGTCTGCAACAGTCCCTGTAGCTCCATCAAGGCCTGGGACTCATCAACAACCGAACTATGCAGCCCGTTACGCAGACGCTTGCGTGATGCATGCGTTATCTGGATGATACGCCCGTAGTAACCGGCGGCTGTAATGCGCAGAAGGTAGATAGTCATATCGGTGAATTTAGGGGCATCAGAGAGCCCGGACAAGGGGGCCACGCCTTCGATCAGATCCACATCGTCCAGACTGACGGGTCGACGTGTATCGAAGTCCGATGCGTGGATCGATGGCGCGAATCCATGATCTTCTGCCGTCCTGAAATCCAGATAGCAGATCTGCGCCCACAGACGACGGCGCAGCTCCACCTGTACGAAGTCGATCGTTCCAAGCGGTAGGGCTAAGGGATCCCTGTGGAGTCCTTGAAGCATTGCAATCCGAATGGCCAGGCCTGTCAATGGCCACACTTTCCCCATGTCGTCTTCTCTGTATTGCGCAGTCTATAGCCATGAATCAAGGTTAGGAATTCGCCCTCAACATACTCGTTGGATCTCATACTAGTAATATCACAAATGCCTGCAGAACCTCAAAGACCCTTGAAGTCATAAATATCTGGCGCTTTAGAAGCAACTCTGTTCCCATCCGATATCGATTGAGGAGAGTGGCTTTGTCCATGCCGAACATGGTGGCTACGTCTGTATCCTTTATACTGTTGACAGCCGCGTAGAAGATAGACATGACCAGTGGCTTGAAGGCATCGATCTTTTTCAGAGTACAACTCGTACCGCCGTTGCTGCCACCCCCTTGTGTTGGTGTATAGTCTCGACTGTCGGGATATTGAGAACGAACAAAGGCGTCAAAGCGACGGGCCAAACTCGGCCGGTGTATAATGCGAACTATCGGGTCAACATTTGCCAGGTACACATTCAGCAGCAGGTAACAATCTTCCCGGGTATCAGGCCAGAAGTTGTTGCCGGTGCTGCTCAATGATGCCCTTGCAGGCGAATCTGCATCCCAAATGACATCGTCAAGTGTTCCGTCGGGTGGAGAAGATTTTTGAGATTCTGTAAGAACTGATTGGATGTCTTGAAGCTAAAAAGAAGGCAAAGCGAATGGCAAGGCCGTGTTAGCATTTTTTGGGTTTTCCCTGTCCTGCTATTTACGCGAATCGCATGTTGTGGAGCGCACCTCTGCTGCCATCCAAGCCCAGTGTTTGCCGGAAACAAAGTGGGGAACTCCATTATCGAGGATGAGGGCATCTTCCTCCGATCGCGGGTTGTGGGGAGGGGCGGAAGTGTTGGCTGCTGGTGTCGGTTGTGTTGTCGCTGTAGGTGTGAATGAGTCCGGAGACGACGAGGAGGGACTGTGTGATGAGGATGCCTCATATGCCTTCGCTTGCGCCATGAAGTTTGCCAGTCGCTGCAGACCAGGGTTGATTCTAGCCAGCGTTGACGAAGACAGCTTAGAGCCACTATTGTTGCTGGGTTTGGTTATGCGGTTCGACTCTAGGGGCGAAGCCGGTGACTGCGGCTTCGATACATACGAGCAGACATGGCCGCCTCGCTCACACACTGAACATTGTGGTTGGCGACGGTCGCATTTGACTTTGCGATGACGGCAGGGTAAGCATGAGGTAATAGGGCGATTTAAACCACTCGGGGATGGAGACGGGATGGATTCGTTTGGAGATGAGTGCGTGTCTGAGGGGTGATGAAAGGAGGGAGTATCGCTGTTCATAGCGAAGGTCATGGAATTGGTAGTTGGGGAGGTGTCCTTGTTTGACACGAATGGTGTGTTGAGAGATGAGAAGGTTCAACAGTACTAGTAACAAACGCAAACACGCTACTTAGCTCTAACGGATTCAAGTTCTCCCACCGGGGCTGCCGCAAGGACCGCAGTTATACAAGGTACAGTGCAGCATAGAAAACCTACCTGCGGAAGGCGAACTCAGGTGGTACTCTTTAACCGCCGTGTATGGGTAACTTGACCCTACAACTTCCTTGATGGGAATAGCTTCGCGTGCTTAGACGTCACTTTGGTTATATTCGTAATGGTCTTCATGGCCTGGCTGGTAGTCCTCGTATGGTTCTTAGTATAAACTTTACTGTATTGACGAATATTGCCTGGGCAGTGGGCACACCTGAATTCACAGCGCTAATCTTGGTTAAAAAATTGTACATGTCTAGATTGAGGCCAAATAGGTGGAGTCCAAGTAGATGGAGGTACGGATTAGTTCGGGCGGAAAAAAACCCAATCGCTCTCTCTCATAGTATCCCATCAGTTCAGCAATACTCGGACACTCTACGAAACCCACATTTTCCACGAAAACGAATCTCATCAATGATCTAGTTCATGCTAGTACTCCCGCCAGGTGATTCAAAACTCAAGAGTTAAATTAGAGATCACCTACCGCGCACGATACCGTGACTGCAATTGCTGGCCGCTTAACGGCTCGACCCGCCAGGAACCGGTCGATCTTATCGGATGAACTTTGGTATGTTTTAAAGGGCTGGGGATGGAGTAATTCGATTACTGTTCATGCTATGTATGGTGGCCGATGCATCCAGTCAGAAGCCATAGCGCCCACTTGCTTATCCCCAAGCGATCCTAATGCTGTTTGATTCGAGCCGATCTCCCGATTTCCCTGACTGTTCTTTGCGGAAGATTAGCTCGGCTTATTTGAAACTCAATGATTGGCCATTCCAGAGGACTCTGAGGCAGCACATGGCCCCACTTCCACCTTAGATGTAATCCGGTTGACCTCGGTGATTTTGTTGGCATGGCGGGGGGGTACTTAGGTGCAGGGATTCAAATCCTTATAGCAGTGAGTCTCAACCTTCTACGCACAGCCGTTCGTGCGAGCTGCGACTGGCTAGATCATGCCAGTATATCACTTAGTTGCTCAGAGAGTTTAACCCCTGACAAATTCAACCATTGTGGTCTTATTATGGTCAGTGATAGGATCTGGACCGTAAGCCGGATTAAAAAATTTAGCCACGCACCCCTATCGCAGCCCAGGAATCACTCGGATCGCATGAATGTATCTGAATCGGGAGTCATCCGAGCCCCGAGTCTACCCCGCTGAAATCAATATATTTATGCTACCTCGACTGTGATTGGAATATCATATTCAGGTGATTCAGAATCTTTATTTCTTGAAGGCAGCTTCATCTTACACTATGAATTCTGGATGGGGTCATGTAGAGTTGTCTGCTATTGAAGTATTAACGAACCATGAGATTTATGTGATAATGGTTCGGGAAGATAGGTAATAAGGAGTTTTCAGATTGTTATGCAACGGCTTAGAGGGCTGGATTCCTCCGCTGGTCAATGAGCCACCACTCAGCTTTGGACCCGTGAGCGTTCCCTACTAGCGCCTTTCATAGTAGCGTATTTGGTAGCGAGCCGCTTTTCCACAGCGGCGCCCCATCGGTTGGGACTCATTGATTCAAGGATTCGAATCCATCCATTTCCTTACAATTCTAGCTAATCACCGTGGTAAATTGAAGCATGCTAAACATTACTAAAAGTTAGAAAATATGTTAGGCATGTGGACGCGTCATTTCTTGCTCCACTGTAGGAGTGCTCCTAGGCGGCCGAACTTGGGTCATACGACGCTCGGATCACATAACCTGGGGCCAAAGCCTCATCTTCCTGTAAGCACTAAGCTGACTTCCTCCTAGCTATGAGGCCAATTGATTTCAATACAAATAACATGTCGAAGCACTAACCGCTAGACCAAAAACGATATATCGCGTGGTTCTAGCCAGGCGACGGAGAGATATGTGTCCCAACATAACACATTTCGTACTCTCGTGCGAAGCGGTTCAGATGGCGTCCGAGATCAATACACCACGCTCGGCCGATGTTCTTAGTAAGGTAGACACCTTTGCTGCTAGCGAAACGTTCAAGGGATCTAGGGAATAAATGTTGGGGTACTCTAGAGTTACGAAAACAGATCGGATATAACATTGGGTCTTCCACATTGTACGTAGAACAATATCATCACTGCACAAGGTCCAGGACATATAAGAAAAAAGAGGCATTCACATACTTCTATATCTATCTTCTGTTTAATATTATAGTTCTATTGATGATGACGTCTCCCCTTCATACCAGTCCTGATTCCCCACGTCCAAGAAATCGCTTGCGCGAGGCTTGTGACTTCTGTCACCAGTCAAAGGTGAGTTTACTGTGGATAGTGTATTGATGTGGGCATCACTGACAGTATTACCTCTCTCTAGGTCAAATGTACTGGCGATAGTCCATGTGTGCGATGTATAGAGCTGGATATCCCCTGCCGATATGGGTTTGTCATTCGAACGGGTAAGCCCAAAGGGTCCCGCAATCGGAAGACCTTGGAGAAGGCAGAGAGATTGAGACAAGAAGCGACGATGAGCACCAAGCATCTTTGCTCTGCATCAAAAGGCCAGAATTCAAGTAGCAGTGGCAGTTGCAGCTCTAGCACGAGCCGTGCCACAGGCGACGGAGAAATGAATAGAAGGGAGATGAGTCCTGGTGATGAGATACTGCTGCCATTAAATTGGTACAGCAATTGGATGACGCTCTCCGAAGGCGATGTGGCTCAACATCCGAGCGAAGCCTATCTGCAACACGAAGTAACGGGTCTGTGGAGACCAAACGAGGAAGAGGCTCTCCAACTCACTCCTCCCAACAGCGCAGCAATCCCGTTCATCTCCGACTCTCTGTCACCGCTCTACACAACATTAACAGAACCTATATCCTCCGGGACACCCCCTCTCAACACATCGAACAGTGCTTCTCATTCATGCACGTGTGTAAGCTATCTCCTCGACAGCAAGTCTCGGCTTTGCAGCTTGACATTGGACCCCGTCGAGCGGGGTCGCTTTGATCTTGGGATGCAAGCCGTTAACAGGATCTGGGCCTCGATTCGGGACATCATGCAATGCGAGAGCCACGAGCACCATCCCCAACTATTTTTCCTGATGTCCTGGTGTATCCGAATAGCATGTGGCTGGTTCCAGTCGCAAGCATCCCTGAAACACCAACACGAAGCGTCACTATTATTCTCACAGCCCTTACTTGATGGAATTGACATGCGTTGCGGTGAGTATGAGATACCGCACCAGCAAGTCCACGTGATACATGGCCTTATGGTTCACATGGCGGTCCAAGAGGGGATCGATCTTCTGAGGGGACTGCGCCGCATACTGGAGAAGGAGGAAACACCTTTGCCCAACCTGCCGGTCAGTGTGATATCACTTAACCCGGTGGATGTCACCTATATCCTAGCAGTACTGGCACAGTGTGAAGAAGAGATGCTCAGAATTCTGCATGTCGGAAGGCAGTTGCTGACCACTGATGTCGACGAGTGATTCGCCAACGAGAAACTGACTTCCTGTCTATAAGATACCTTGGAAGCCATCTTGGCCTATTGAAGTAATGCGAAACCACTATGCCATGGATGAAGTTTGGATCTTTAGATCACTGATGTATATACCTGAATCAAACCACGTGCCCCGTTGCCCAATTCCACATTGTACATAGCATACCGCTAACCTCACTGCATCTGTCTTGTAAATTTTCTACCAACGCAAATTAAGATATCTTTATCTACACCCTGCTCTACAGTCTAAATCTGTAAGCCGAGAGTGCGAAGCAACCCGAGGGGGCGCGTACATAGGTAAGACATATTTCAGAACGGTTTTCTACGGATATAGGAAATCACAGACAGTTACATCATAATATATGGAAGGGTGATAGCCGATCACATCACTTGGATGAGCTGATAAAATCATGTTAACATCAGTCTTTTCACTACAATATATATGCATGTTGAAACAACTCTATACTATTTGCATATGCTGAAGTGTTTATATCGTAGTCTTTAAACCCGTCCAACGGGCAAATTGCTATTTGGCTTAGGGAACTGGAAGAAAGGAAGGGGGCGCGCGATAACACTGCCCTGAATGGAGCGATCAATTATCAATGATCTATAGCCGAACAAGACAGCTAAGCACTAGAATGAAGACCAGGAAGAGGACGGTTGAGTTGACTTTGACCGCGTGCTGCAGCTAGAAAACGACATAGGGTTACATCGTGTATTGATCGGAGCTACATTCAGTAACATGGCCCACAACGCGCCTCTAGCGGGAGGAATTGACCAACGCCAGCGGCGCGACGGTTGGCGCTAGCTCCAGGCATTTCAAGGATATGTATGAATCCTGAATCGAGTAGATTGCTAAATACGAAAAAGATATAAACAGTTAAAAGATAAAGAATTGAGAAGAAGGAGATGGAATCATCCTCCTTAGACGCAACTAATACGCCGGTCGACTGTAGACTTTAGGACAGTAGTAAGCCGTTACATACGGGCCCTTGCCCTTCTTATATGAGTAAGAGACATACGTATGCGTCCCTAATTCGGTATCGATGTTGTGCGAGGGGCTGAAGCAAAAAGCATTTATTAGTGATATCTGATGATTGGAAACTCTTGATTTTTGTTGGGTGTTCTTCACGGATAAGGTAAACTCACAATCTGGCTTGAAGGTCTTTGGCATACGAATCGGCAAGATCATTCCATCCCTGCCGACGAAAATAGGTGGCGAGACCTTGTGCGACCGCCAAGTCGTTTTTACCGTAATGGCGGACGGGAATGTAGACCTGGGTTTCGGGGTAGGTCTTGCCAGGGCGAATGTGGATGTTGTAGAGGAAGCCGGCGGTGCGGTGGCTCTTGCTCGGTAAGGGGTCCTCGTCCTTGTAGCCGGCGGGAACGTCCAATAAGAGGGGCCAGAGCTCGCGCAGAATCTTAATCCCTGCCAAGGTGGTGTCATCCTTGAGGCGACCGCCTAAGGTATAGACGTCGACGACATCGTGTAGGGAGGTGTGATACGCACGCAGGTAGAGTTTGATGCGCGACTGGTGCGGGTCGACGCAGTCGAACGCCGCCGCTTCCGCCCGCATCTCCGGGTGCTCAGCCATGTACGCCTCAATCAGGCCCAAGGCTGGCGCAAGGGGAGCCTCCACACGGTCAAGTTTGAGAATGGAGTCAAAGATCAATCGACTTGGGGAAATGCCGGTTTCAGCGGACTTGAGTAGGGGCATAATGTACGCTTGCATTGGGGCCTGGTCGCCTTGGAAGCCAAATGCAAACATGTTTTGGGTCTGGTGCTCGTCGGAGGGGAATTTCGCCAGCACGGAGGCCATGTTCTCCGGGGCCACCAAGAGCTCTTTCGCAAAGTGGTTATACCAGCCCAGGTTGACGCCCACCGAAGCATCCTGGCTAAGTTTGTGCAGGAAGTTGGCGCTGGCCTGCCGGTTAGCAGGATCCAGTTCAGTACCGGCGAGGTCACAAATGGGCTCAAAACCGAAGCGAACGGTTGCTTTGCTGTCATGAAAATTCACACTGATCTCAAGGGGAGTGAAGTCGTCGGTCATGAATGAGTGCCAATGGGGCTGACCTTTTGGCTTGGGACGGGGACCCAGCCCAGGGATTATATATCGATAGATGAAGATCAGGTGCTGGTATTGATGGGCCAGGTTGTAATTTGACTTGATCATGAGCTCCTGGATTGTGGGAGCCACCACATTCCACCAGAAGTGCTGATCTTCATTTGGGAATGGCAGAGCGTTCGTGAGAATCCGACATGGTGTGTTGTCATGTACGGCGTGAATTTCACCGATTGATATAGTGGCCTTGGAATCGGGAGCTCTGATGCTTGTCGGAGTAAAAGGTGTGGACGTCTGGGAGGTAACGGACAGCATTTCGGTCGGTTGATGATACGATGTTGTTATCGATGGGTAGATTTAAAGCTTGTGTCTTGATTCTGATATGGTTTGTTTCCCTGCTGTACTTATATATGCGCCTTTGCCCCATCTTGGATCTTTGCTCCAAAACCGAGATCTTACTGCCATTCGGGCCCTAGTCTCGGAGGTGGTAAACGCTGGTGAGAATTCCGAAAATACACCCCGACTACCCACCCCCAGCTAAATCGTACCCGGGCTTGATGACAACAACCCGTATCTTGAGACGAACCATACGGAGCTTGCCTAGCTTCTCAGAAGCTTGGCCACATGGCATCCTGGCCACATGGCACTGAGGTGCTCTGTGGGGCTGAGAGCCTGGGCTACACTCTCCGAGAAAAACCCGCCGTGATTTCGCGCCGATCCGATACGAATCTCAGAATAACTGCGCCTAAAATCTTATACTCGCCCGTTTGTATTTATTTCCGCGAAAGGCTCAGTCGTGTTGCTTACACAGTAACCCCGCCCCCCCCCACCGAGAACGTGTGTGAAACTTTGAACTTCTAGTGCCCTAGATTGTTCGAGCACAATGTTGAACAAAGAGGAAATCGACCTTGTATCGCTCTTCAGAGGCTATGCTTCTCTTCACCCAGAAACCATTGCTATTGAAGATTGTACGAATTTCCTCACAGACCCACCTAGAATGACATATGGAGAGTTGGACGAATGCTCGAGCATCTTTGCTCAAGAGTTGAAGCAGAATGGGGTTCGACCTGGAGATGTCATTCCTTTATTGTCCCAACGCAGTCCTGAGGCAATTGTCGCCATTTTAGCCATCCTGAAATGTGAAGCCTGCTATGTACCTATGGACGCAGAATCCTGGGCACATGATCGAATCCAGATAACACTACAACAAATACAACCACATATTATCATCTCGACGAATTCAGCGCAATCCAACTTTCAACTCAAGCCCTGGAAGGTACTGGAAATGTCATCGTGGAAGGCAATGTTAGCCTCCGGCTTCATCATTAAGCACCAGAGCAATATCTGGCAAGCTATTGCCCCACCGGTATTAAGTCTTGATCGGTTGGCGTACATAATCTTTACCTCCGGCACAACAGGCATGCCGAAGGGGGTGATGGTGTCAATGCGATCGATCACGGCGTATTGCAGGGAATGTGATCCGGACCTTCCTTTCAATCTCAGTTTTAACACCATTTCCCGAGTCTTATGCGTGGTATCGATTGCGTTTGATGGTGGGTGATCCTTTCTATTGAGCATGCATTGGGCCGACTTCCATACTTACTGTATCATCGGGCTAGCATGCGTTGGGATCATCTTCAGTACTATAACCAGCGGCGGCACATTGATTTTGGCCAATCCGGCAACCTTCGCAGCGTCTGCCAAACAATGCACCGTTCTTCCCCTCACGCCTAGCATTTTATCCACTCTAGATCCAGAAGGGCTGGATAACATTAGATCCATCTATCTGGGCGGCGAATCTCCTTCACCTTCGTTGATCCAAGCCTGGTCTCGACCATGGCGTCGCATATTCAACGCTTACGGCCCTACTGAGACCACTTGCGCTACTTTGCTGGGTGAACTGTTCCCAGAAGGTCCAATTACCGTCGGCTGGCCAATTTGGTACAGTAAGATTATCCTGGTCAATCTCGACGGAGAGTGTACAGATGAGGAGGGCGAGATGTATGTGGGAGGTGCAGGTCTTGCTGTCGGATATTTTGGCAATGACGAAGCAACAAACAAAAGCTTCGTCATGCACAATGGAGAACGATTTTACCGAACTGGAGATCTGGCACGTCTGACCTGCGATGGATACGTCTTTAGGGGACGTATGGACAGTATGGTCAAAAACCGTGGTTTTCTGATTAACCTGGAGGCCGAGGTAGAACCCGCAATTCTTAGCATCCCCGAAACTACTGGCGCAGTGGCGATGAAGATCGAGAACTCCCTAGTTGCCTTTATTACACCAAGGGTTGATATAAGCACTGTGAGACAGTACCTCAGCGCGAACCTTTCGACATTCCTCGTACCCGACACCATTTATGCGTTGGACGAATTCCCCCAAACTGCCAACGGCAAGTGTGATCGCAAATCCCTGCTGTCACTTCATCAAGCAGAGGCAAAAAAATTAATCTCCGAGACCACGATGTCATCTTCAAACGGTCATCTAACCCCCATAGACGCAGTCAAAAAGGCTTTCGCCATCGTTCTACGCCTACCGGAGGATTCTGTTCACCCAAAGACTTCCTTTCTACAGAAAGGGGGACATTCTCTGAGTGCAGTGCGCTTTGTTTCTATACTGCGCAAACTGGGGTATGTGACATCGGTCAACGAACTTCTAGCCAAAGATAGTGTAGGCACAGTCGCGGAAACTGTCGCCTCGATCGCACCGAGTACCCCCGCTCGTGCATCGTCTGCGATCCAAAACAATGCTCCTATGACGGACCTTCAGCAACGTATGGTGCGGGCCACTACACAGTCTCCTACATTGCATTATATCAAGATCGGAATGACATTTGAACATCCGGGCACGTCGTCGATTTGCACACCTCTGCGTCATGCATGGGAAACTATATACCGGGAGCATGAGATACTTCGAACGAGCTGGAATCTCTCAGTCGAAAATGGGGTCCATGTCATCTCTGACAATGTATCTCTCAACTGGGAGGAGATCATTGTTTCTAGAGAGCTCTGGAGTAGTGTATGCGCTGAGGCGATCGACATAAATCAGTGCCGTGACACACTGTCATCGTTCCGTCTTATCACCCATCCCGGACACTGCACTCGCCTAGTATGGACGGTCCATCATAGCCTGATTGACGGCTGGTCAGCAGGACGGCTACTGGGAGATTTAAATACTCTAATCAATAAAAGGCGACTACCACAGACGTATCCTCAATTCGGTGAAGCTGCGCGACTCATGAAACAGCTGGCTCACGAATCAGAAAAGCAAGCATCTCGGTACTGGCGGTCCATCGTCGGAGATTATCTCCCCTTCAAGAAAATTCTGCTTTCTTCTCCTCCCATTGCTTTGAGCAGCAAGGTGGCTACCCACGCCGACGTACACGAGTCGCTTGGCATCTCCGTCTCTGCGCTGGAGGACGCGGCGAAGATTTTCGGTGTTACATCCTCGACCATATTGTACGCTGCTTGGGCACTTCTGCTCTCGCGATACTGTGACTCAGACAAAGTAGCTCTTGGGGCAGTGATTGCCCAAAGAGCCCTACCTATTGATGGTATTGAGAGCATTGTGGGGCCACTGATCAACACACTCCCTCTATGCGTCGACACCGACAAGAGCACTGTGGGTCATTTACTGAAGACCGTCTCACAGACATTGCGTGAACTATTGGACGTACAATACTCTACCCACTCATTGATATATGAAGCAACGGGCATCAAGAGCAGTGACTTGTTTGAAACTGTCCTAGCTATCCAATACGGTTTCCCTGCTTTCAGTTCCACGGACGAGGGCGAGATAGTCGCATCAGAGATTGAGTTTCGCGAGTCGACCGAGTTACCTTTAACTATGTTGGTTGGCGAGAGCAATGGTATTGTCGAAACGAAACTCTTCTATTCCTGTCAGGTTTACGACTCCAACCAGGCGACTGATATTGTTTTACAATTCCACAGCCTCATCCACGCCATCGTTCGCGCCGAAGCCCAGACCTCACTTGACAGGGTCCACTCGCGTATTTTCGACAGATGTATTGGGCTAAATGCTCTACAGCAGGAGTCTTCATGGGACATGAATGGTACGATGAATGTTGAGGATGTGGCTTTTGCTGGCCCCCGTACAGTTCAAATGGCGATTCAAGAGTCTATGGGCTGCTTTCCGGATCTCTGTGCCGTATCCACCGATTCAAGATCCTTGTCCTACCGAGAACTGAGCGGTTTCTTGGGTGTCGTGTCTTCGCGGATCAATGAAGTTACCCAGCGAGGAGACGTTATTTGCGTCATCAGTGACGGGACCATCGAATGGCTCGTGGCAATACTGGCGGTTATCCAATCCGGCTGCACATACTGTCCAGTTGACGTGAAGCTTCCTCGGGCGCGGCAGCATTACATGATCGAATCAGCCTCCGCCAAGGTGGTTCTGTTCCCACGAGCCAACATGCAGACAGGATATGGCTTTCTTGGGGATGTCAAGGCGTTGGATGTGAGTAGTCTAATTACTAACACGGCCGTACAGCGGAGCCAGGATTATCGTAAAGTTCAGGATAACGACATCGCGGCGATAATCTTCACTTCAGGAAGCAAGGGCGTCCCCAAAGCGGTGCAGCTGGCCCATAAGAGCATCATGTCCCTGCTTTCCTGTCCGGAGGGCCGGCTGTACTCTAAGCCTGGGTGGCGCATCGCGCAGACACTGTCGCTAGGGTTCGATTGTTGCGTGCTGGAGGTCCTCTCTGCCATCTGCTTTGGCGGAACACTGGTATTGAAGGATGTCAATGACCCACTCACTCATCTGAAAAAGGTTGATTCGATGGTTTCAACGCCTTCTCTTCTTGCAACGCTAGAGCCCGAAGAATCTAGAAACCTACGGGTAGTCTTTCTCCTGGGAGAGGCACTCCACCAAAACCTGCTTGACAAATGGCGTCCGGGTCGAGTGGTTCACAACTGCTATGGCCCGGCTGAATGTACTTTATTTGCCACTTACAAGCGCTTCGACGATGCAGCGCACGAGCAAGTAAGCATTGGCAGGCCTACGCCCCGGACCCGCATCTACATCCTTGACAAGAAGCAACGGCCTGTGCCAGTTGGAGTCAAAGGTGAGATCTACATCTCTGGAATTCAAGTTAGTCCTGGATATCGGAACAATGCTGTTCAAACCGCATCAGCGTTTTTACCTGATCTGCATGTTGGGGAATCACAGAAGATGTTTAAGACTGGCGACATGGGCCGTCTTATGCGTGATGGAAATATTGAGTACATTGGCCGAGAAGACGACCTGTTCAAAATCCGCGGATTTCGGGTTGACCTGGGAGATATCGAAGCCTCAATTTTGGCCGTCGCTCCCGATTTGGACAACATTGCGGTCGTCGTGGCCCCTTCGGCCGATTTTCTCATTGCGTTTGTCACCCCAATGTCCGTCAACACTACGACCTTGCAGGACAAAATAAAAGAGTCTCTTCCGGCCCATATGGTTCCCGCACATATATTGGCCCTTCCTGAACTACCACTGTCACCTAATCACAAGGTTGACCGGAAAAAGCTGGCAGGTACAGAAATCTCTCTCGTACGCGCGACTGAGCCCCTGAAGACGCCAATGGAGAGATTCATCGCAGAGATCTGGCGTGAGCTGCTCGGAAAATCCCCATTGACAGAGCAGATAAGTGCTTCTGATCACTTCCTCACAATGGGTGGTCACTCCCTGCTGCAAATCCGTGTGGCACAGCGCCTTAGTCAAGCACTGAACATTCCATTTCCTTTGCGATTGGTCATTCAGCATCCGATCTTGAAGGAATTGAGTCAAGCAATTGCCAAGGAAGTTCTCGCTCAGAGCGTGTGCAGTTCACGCAGCAGCTTCCGTTTGTTGGAGCCTGTCTCCCGAACAGGAGACCTACCTGTGTCGTTCCTGGAAGAAGAGTTTCTAATCAACGACCTCCTCTCAGGGTCCTCCCCGGCGTTAAACATCCTCTTCGCGACCGAGTTCCAGACCAGCATCAATACTACCATACTAGACCAAGCTTTCAGAGAATCTGTTCAGGAGCGTGAAGTCTTCCTCTCGCGCTATAAACAAGTCCAGGGCAAATTCGTCAGAAGCCTCGTCTACACACCATCTTCCCTCCGCCAGTTTTCAAACACTGAGCTGTCTATTGACGAATTCCTGGAAACTGCCCGAAACTATCGGTTGGATCTGGCCAATGAGCAGCCCGTTCAAGCTCTTCTATATCAACAGTCCCCTACAAAATCCACTCTCGTGATCCTGATGTCCCATCTAGTCGGCGACGCCATCACGATGAATTTGTTCCTCAACAGTCTCGCCGCCCGCTTACAAGCCTTGTCCAGACAAGACCACACCGACACAGGCCGTCTTTCCGCTGACCTCCAACAGACACACACCTACATAGACTGGGCCGCATGGTCTGCCACACAGCAATACCTCTCAGCTGAGGCCTTATCTTTCTGGAAGACCTACCTCGACCATCCACCTCTCCAAACCGGCTTGAACCAGTCCCATCGACCAAGATCCTACACCGGCGGGGCCAAGTCTTGGACCCTTCCGTCCTCCCTCTCCAACTCCCTCCAACACCTCTGCGCCGATCTATCGTTGAGCCCGCATCAACTCATGCTCGCCGCTGTTACGCTTGCCACGCAAGCCCTCCAACCCAGTCAGGACATCGTTATGATGGCCCCGTACTCCCTCCGCACTGAGCCTCTCACCGAGGAGCTCGCCGGCTGTCTGCTGGACCGCGTGCCCATTCGCGTGAAATGGGACCGACAACAATCGTTACTCGAGCTTCTGCGAGCGGTCCAACAGTCCTCGCAGACGGCGATCGCACACGCCGTTCCCTACGCGTCGCTGTGCAAGGCCCTGCACCTTCCCCCGTCCCTCACAAATTCCCTGGCAGAGATCATGGTCACCTTTCACCCTGCCAGCAGCGATGAGACCCGACGCTCCTTTGGCCAGCCATTCAACCTTCGTCCGTCCGGCGCAAAATTTCCCGTCCTGTTCGAATTTTTCCAACAGTCCCCGGATGAAACAATCACCGTCTTATTTGAGCACGACGACGCGCTCCTCAGCGGCGATGACAGTGAGGCCCTGATGTCCGCATTCCAGCTGGTCTTGCAGCTCATCGCTCAACACCAAACGGTCCACGATATTGTGGATACGGTGTGCCGTGAGGCGCGTATACTTGCAAAACACCCGAATGGGCCTGTGGACGGTCAATTTTTAGAGCCCTGTAATAATGAGTCTGATGTGGAAACTATACGGGAGGCGTTCGCGACATGTCTTGGTGTGACGTTGGGAGATGTGAGCTCGGATATTTCGCTTTTTGATGACCTGGGTGGATCTTCGTCTGATGCGGTCCGACTTGTGTGGTTATTGAAGGAGAAAGGCGTCTTTGGGATGGATTTGCGGAAGGTGTTGTTGGCCAGGACGCCCGCAGCGCTTGCGAGGCTAGCCAAGTTTAATGAATAGGTCGTGGTGTACCAATGGATATCTTCTCGGCAGCCCCAGCCCCTTGCCATTCTGCGTGGCATAGATACCAAAATGACTCGGTCTATGATTCCTACTCCACTAGCGAATGGAATTGTCAGTAGAAATATTGGGCTCTTAGTCATGCATGCTTCCAACAGCAGTCACTGCACTCCTGGACCCCTGTCTCTAGAACATAGTTTGGCATATTGCGAAAGCTATAAGGAACGAACAGTCCACATGTATTATGATACATCGCCTAAGTAATAAGCATACAGTCTCCAAACATATCAAACTCATAATCGCCCTTCTTCTGAATTTCCTTATAGCTCCTCATAACAAACTCCGTTCCCGCGAACGCAGCCGTAAGTACAATATGACTAGACCGCGGGCGATGCAAATTGGTAAGCAGCACATCAACAGCATTGAACTCGAATCCCGGATAGATATAGAGATCGGTCCATCCATGCTGGGGCTTGATGGTACCCTTGCGGCCGGTCTCACGGGTAATGGTCTCCAGCGTCCGCATAACAGTCGTGCCGACAGCAATAACGCGACGGCCTTCGCCCCGTGCTCGATTTAGCTGTGCTGAGGTCCTTTCACTGACCTCGTAGTACTCCGATCGCACCTTGTGCTTTTCGATCTCCTCAACACTGATATGTCGAACAGAGAGGATCTCAGTCGCCCCTACATGCAGAGTGATATAGGCGATTTCCACACCCTTAGCGGAGATTTCGGCGAGCAGCTCATGAGAGAAGTGCAGTCCGGCGGAAGGGATCTCCAAAGAGCCAGGCTTCTTAGCGTACACAGAGCGGTAAGAATCGGGCTTTTCCTTCCAGTATGTGGGGTTCAAATGGATGTTTTCGTCGAGCCGGGCTCCGTATTGGTCGAGAGTTGGGAGGAGGAGGTCACCGGGACTGAACTGGACCTTCCACAGCTTATCGGGCTGCTGGTCAAGGAGAGTGCATTTGAGCTTCTCTTCGTCCAGGGAGGTGAGGGTTTGCCCTCGTTTGAAGGTGACTTCGGGCTTCTTGAGCTCCACGATGGTGGTGCCGTCTGGCTCGTGGCCGTAGACAGTCAGTTGGAGGGTTTCTTTGTTGCCGTACTCGAACCACAGGGTGTTTGACAGCATGTAGCTGTCGTTCAGCACCAGGAGGTCTCCGGAGCGGAAGTAGTCTCCAATGCTGGAGAATATGGCATGATCGATCTTGGAGCTTTCACGATCCAAGACAATCATCTTTCCGCTATCGCGAGTTTTACCTCGGAGCTCGACGGGGTCATGGGGCATGACCTTGTAGTCGAGGTCGAACTCGAATTCGGCAGTCTTCATAGTGATAAAATAGTATGTATTTGAAATAGATATATCTGAAGGGACCCCGATGAATGTGGTTCAAATATTTGTTGAGCTTAAGAAGTAGCAGCACGGCTGGGAAAACAATTGGGCCCTTTTATCTTCCATTCAAGTCCCATCGTAAAGGTATAGAGCAGCTATGTGTGCGACATTACTCGCACATCGAAGCTCGAGGTCATGTAACTGTGAATTCCTCGTAAGAGATGGATAGATAATGCCTCGCTATGCAACATTACTCGTACATGTCAAAGTGGAACACGTGCACAAAATGACTGTATGTGGCCCTTGGTCTCCTTTTGCGTTCAATAGTGCTAAAGAGAGCTAGCGATGCAACATCGCCAATGAAGCTGTAGCCACATTGGCCGCGTTTAGTCAACATCAGAGATTCATCGAAGAAGTGACAGCGTAAGGAGTTTTGACCAGGTCCATCGGTTATTGCCCCATGCATTGGGAACCCCAGGGCGATAAATGTTCAGTATGATCCTGTCATCTAAGTGGAGCATGAGATTGGTCTGAGTGAAACCGCTGTAGCATCTCCCTCAACATCACTCATGCCCGAGCGGCACACTGTAGTCCGAAACCATGCACGTGGTGGGTGATGGTGGAATTGCACCCGAATTGCAGTTGAAGAGAATGATTCTTCCATGAAGGTCGGCCTTACCCTAGACAACCATGCCTCATATTATCCGTGTATCCTGCAATGTGTCCTCAGGTAAGTGCTCGTTGCTCAAGTTGGAGGATTTGTTTTGATCTAACTCAACATGTCATACCCCGTATACATAATATCCGTGGTTGAAAACGGGAACTAACCGCGTGCGGGTATCATGCACATCGCACTGGCGAATAATAAATGTCCGCGGAGAATTTCAAGAATGCGAACCATGAATCATTCCGGCGGTGTCATTGGAATCTAAACATTCCTCCTTGATCCCCACAGCTAGTCTGTTCATGTCAGTGCCTCCGGTGGCTCAATGATCCTAAGGGGGGGGGGGGGGGGGATCTGGAATAGTATGCTGAAGTTAAATGCAACTGTACCGGACTAGAATACGGTTCTGTAATTCCTATGGGCAGCCATGGCCGTGACAAGCACAGTAATGAGGCGCACATCCCAGTATGCTACTGTAACATCCATAGATAGGAGCTGAACATTAACACAAGAGAGGCGATGCCAATCCAAATACAACATGTTACATGTCCATCTCAGACATCGGGTTACTTTCGTCTCACGCAGGGTTTCATTATAGCTATAGAAAGCATCAGGATGAGAGAAAAATTCAAGCGATGCACGGATAAGGTACTCACTCATAGTTTCCGGGATCACACAACAGCTGCATATCCACGGAGAATCAATTCTTCTCAATTCCACTAGTATTGAATGTTTAAAGAGGGTCTACGTGGAATCTTCATATCATGTCTTCAGTCAAAACAGCTAAAAGCAATCCATTGATACTTCCTCTTGGTCCTCTCAACGGCCGAACCACCACAGGCAAATACGACATCGATCTCAATGACGACGGCAAACCTTTGGCCACCGAGCAGCATGGTTCAAAGGACTTTCATCTTTTTTTCAATGACCGCCAACATGTCAATTCCAGCCCTGCGTTGATCTCGGAACATCCTATTGATCAGCCCCGGCCACTGAAACTCATCTACATCGGTGCAGGCATTTCAGGAATTGTCGCTGCCATTCAGTTTCTGAAGACTGTGCCGCACTTGAAATTGACTGTTAATGAGAAGAATCCCGAACTAGGAGGGACATGGTTCGAAAATAGATATCCAGGCTGCGCGTGTGGTGAGCCTTCCAGGACCAAATCTCATGACATATCGACCGCTACTGACTGATTGTGCAAATAGATGTGCCATCTCACACTTACCAGCTTAGTTTTGAGTCGTGGACTGAATGGAGCCACTTCTTCTCTGGATCAGAAGAGATTCTCGAGTACTGGAAACGTGTGGCCCAGAAATATAATGTTCGGAAACATATACATTTCAATCAACGGTGTATTGAGGGACGATGGAACGATACCACCAGCTTATGGACTGTTCAGATCCAAGACGTACTTACTGGAAATACTTTCGAAGACTCGGCCGACGTGCTGATGACTGGAACGGGCCTGCTTAACGAGTGGAAGTGGCCTTCAATACCTGGTCTACAATCCTTCAAGGGACATCTGCTCCATAGCGCTAGCTGGGACGAAGGCTTCAATCCTGAGGTGAGTCACCCTTCATTGATACACCCAGCATACTGATTCTGATTGATTCTCAGGAAAAAACCGTAGCCGTAATCGGCTCCGGAAGCACCGCAGTCCAGATCGTCCCCGGAATCATCGACAAAGTCAAGTCTATGGACCACTACGTTCGTGGAGGGACATGGATATCCAACCAACATGGTAGCCCTCACCTTGCGGCACGAACGAATAATCAAGCTATGAATTTCCGCTACACGGAGAAAGAGAAGCGGCAATGGCGGGATAACCCATCATCGTACCTCAAGTATCGCAAGGAACTAGAGCTAGAGATCCAGAGCCAATTCTCCATTTCCCAACGGGATAGCGATATTCAGAAGACTGCGACAGCACAACTCCGAGCGGGCATGCAGGAGAGACTAAAAGCAAAACCCGAGCTACTGGATCTTCTGCTGCCTGACTTTCCTCCGCTCTGTAACCGGTTGACACCTGCTCCTGGATATCTGGAGGCTTTAGTATCGCCGAAAGTCAATGTAATCGGCACACCAATTGCTCGTGTCGATGAATCCGGTATCATCACCACAGATGGAAAACATCGCCCCGTGGAGGCGATCATCTGCGCAACCGGCTTTGAGAAAAACCTAGGGGCCAGTTTCCCAATAATAGGCCGTGATGGCAGCATTCTTTGTGACAAGTATGCCGATCGGCCAGAGACATACCTGGGACTTTGCACCGATGGATTTCCAAATTTCTTCCAATCCTTGGGACCCAATTCCTTCGAAGGTGCAGGGAATCTCCTTATCATGATAGAGCAGACACACGCATACGTCGCGCAGATATTATCACGAATGGCATATGGCAATGTCGGGATCGTAGAACCAAAGCGGAAACAGGTCCTATATTTCACCAACTACGCAGAGAAGTATTTCGAACGAACAGTCTACAGCTCCGAATGCAACAGTTGGTACAAGTCACCTTCAGCCGGTGCAACGACTCTGCAGCAGCGTAAGAAGGGCCGTGTTACTGCTCTTTGGCCCGGAAGCAGCCTCCATGCCATTAAAGCACTCGAACATGTCAGGTGGGAAGACTTTGAGACTACAGCATATGACAGTAATGAGTTTGGGTGGTTCGGAAATGGTTGGGCTGAGGTGGAGAATTCATCGGAGAGAGGAAATCCGGATACAATGGCCTGGTACCTGAACCGGGCGTCGTTTCTTGATGGTGGTGATTAATTGTTTGTTAGAAATTATCCAATAGTTGGTACTGATTTCCACCTCTTTAGTGAGTTCAGGATCTGTGATGCAAGCCATTCTTCAGCTATCAGTTTTCTCTTCTCCGAGGGTGCCCGAAGTGTCCTCCTAAGACTTCATCCCAAAACCCCCATCACGCCCCCAATGGCCAACATTATAGACCATGATTGGACCATATTTCGCACCCGCATATAGCATGTCAATTGATGCCAATCCTTCTCTTCAAGTTCAGCTGTTGGCACATAACAGAGCTAATCCTAGATGAGGTAAGATTTGCAGTCTCTTTAGCGTATTGTTTAGTGCCAATAAAAATGGCCAGTCTTCGCCTTCTGTGGCTATGCACGGATGCCTAAGGACAACAACATCATTGCGAACCCAGCCTCGCGAAAATAAAATGGGCACCATCAGCTCAGCAAAAGGTAGAACCCTTCGATTCTTTTTATGTTATTACCAAGATGCCCAAACATCTAGAGAACTTTCCTTTACATCCAGAACGAAACGAAATTCGTCTCCTCACTATCTTACCCAGCACAAAGGCTGAATCAATAATCAGGTGCTCTCTCTTTTCAGTATCACTAGACAATAGCCCTGAGTTCGAGGCCATTTCATATGTCTGGGGAGACGCCTCAAAGAAGACAGATATTATCATCAATGATACTTTCTTTTACGTGACACGGAGTGTGGATAAAACGCTCCGTCTTCTTCGCCGTAAGGATCGGCGACGAGTGGTATGGATCGACTTTGTCTACATCAACCAGCATGATGTCCCTGAGAAAAATACCCAGGTCCCATTACTTGGTCGTGTTTATGCGGGCGCGTCAGCAGTTATTGCTATGATGGTGAATGATAATATGGATCTTCGTACTGCAATTTCTTGGACAAAGGCATACGAACCAGGCCTGGTCACTCGAGAAATTGTTGCATGGCGTGTCCTGGACAAACTGAGCAGATACTGCCAGAAAGCTCGAGACCTAAGGGCGAGGCGGCTGCTCAACGTGTACGAACAGCTCCGACTCGTCAAGGATGACCCTTACTGGGCACGCACGTGGACATATCAGGAATACCAGCTGGCCAATTGCGATCCAATTTGCATGAGTGGAACACTCACATTCAATGCTTACTTAATGCTCGCATTCGCCCGTGAGAGTCTAGTGAAGGCATATTGGAACGATCAATAGTTTCAGGAATCATTTAGACGAAGGTATGGTGAGGCAGAATTCAGAAAGCTTTCCCTTCTTCGTGGGCCAACCGAGCGAATCAAAAATGAGAATGCCCTATATCACTTTCGCAAGACATGGCATCGACAGTGCAAGGATCCTCGAGATAAAGTGTACGCACTTTACAGTCTGCTCCCTTCTCTACAAACCAAATACCCGCCGGACTACAATAAACAAGTTGAGCAGGTCATGCACGAAACAACAGCATATATCGTGACACAGGAAGGCCCCGAGGCTCTGAGCTCCTTCAAACTCTGGGAAGGGAATTGTTCACCTAGTTGCTCATCTTCTTATCCATCCTGGATCCTCGACTTTGGTTGTGCCGCTGAACCTCTGGATGCCATCCTCGGTGAATATGCCTGGTGCTTAGACGCCTGGGATCCATTACCTATGACCACAAACGACCTGTCCACTATGACAATTTGTGCTCGTCGCATCGGCTCCTGCTCCCCGGTTGTACAACTGGCCTCTACAATGCCAGATATCATGGATCAATTTGTTAGCATCACAGATGTACGCTATGATACCTGGGGGAGCTTGGAATCCAGGCGTCTAAGTCTCGTGCATGCGTGCCTGGCTTATACTCATCTTCACACCAAGTTTATACAAAATCTAAGCGACAAAACAATTGAGACATCCGATCTTTTCCATAAGATTGACCTACGTCGCGCGAACAACCCGTGGTGGAAAGAACTCTGTGATGTTCTTACGTCAAATTATGGATATACTGTTTTCGGAGTGGATGATCCGATAGTTGAAGGTTTCGGAATCAGCGGACCTAATGTGCAGCAAGGAGACGTGGCAGTGATGGCTTCTGGAGTGCCGGTGCCGCTTATACTTCGTCCTTATCGGGAAAACAACGAGCTCTATTATCGTTTAGTGGATAGAGCCTACATTCCCTTGATGTCCCAAATCGCGGTTTCGGATGGTAAATTTGATTCTGCTCGGTTCTTAGAACGCCCACCTCAGGTGTTCTCTTTACGATAGATCATCTCATCTTCACAACTGTATATACTATGTGGGATGGCTTTCGAGGCTATGGCAATATGATGTGTAATATTGCCTGTCGCTCTAGAGAACAGCATTACACATACCAAGCGGGAATAGAGTGTTGTTCCGAACTACGATTTAGTGTGGCTGTGCCTTATTCTACTATGTTCAATGACCAGGAGATCACTACGCCGACGACGTCTCCATCGTCCACACCCTAATCACCTCCCTGGTAGACCAGAGCGAACACATCCTAATGCCCATGCACTCCTACGACGGCGCCAATCGGCACCGACGCCATCCAAGACCTGGACCAACTCACCCGGGCAGCCAAAAGCTTTCCCCTCCTCTATCTGTGCGCCTACCTCCAACAACCCAGCCGCTCCATCTGGGATGTTGTCAGAGGCAAGCATGACAGCTTTTTGGCCGCAGTTCATCGAGAATGCAGAAGATGGCCCGACGTTCTCCGTCAATCCAGTACAGCTTTTCCTGGGCGATTGCAATGAGGCGCAGGCGTCTGAGCCACTGAAACATCTTGTACGGAGTCCGTTGAGTACGTTTCCACGCCGGTGACGGGGGATGCGTGGAGGAGAGTCCCTGTTACGTATGTGACTACGACGAAGGATTTTTCGGTCCTGAGGGGGTATCAGGATTTGATTCCGGGGAGGGTCGGGGGGAGGAGGGCGTGGATGTTAGGGTTGCGGGGGTGGATACGGCGCATGATAGTGCTTTTTTCTCCGGGTTGGGAGATGTGGTTAGGGTTGTTGGGGGGGGTTGTGGGGGATGAGAGGAATCCTTGAGGGGTGGGGGGATGTTATGCTTTTTAGACGGAGTATAGTAGTACAAGAAGGGATGAGGGCCTTTGCTGGTGGCTGGGTAGGATATTGGTTGAGTTTTGTGATATAATATATATAATACCTTGTGGTGGTGATATTCGGTGATGGCGGCTGAGAGTGGTAAATATATATTTCTTTGGGGGGTCGCTATCTTCGGCTCAATGTATAGGTACTTAGATACCGTGCAGGCACTTAAACTTCGAGATACTCATACTATCGGTGATTTATGTCAGATTTCGACTACACGTTGAGCGAATATTAGGTACGAAGGTGTTGTGTCTTGAGAACTATAGCCAGCACCACGCATAGTAGAAAATTCACCAAGCTACTAATAAGATTCTATTAAAGTAGAGGCAGTTTCACGAATTGTTCTTTTGTTGGCACTTAGCCACCATACGAACTAAGGAATACAACCCGCATCAAGCGGTATCTATAGCTCTTCTAACTGTGCATCTCATCCTCACTATCCTTGTCCTCAGGCATAGTGATCGGCAACCCCGAACCCGAAGAAATCCTCTTCCGCTCCATCTCCACCGCAATCTCATCCAGCTCATTCTCAATATCCAGGTGAATGCGCAGTCCCTTCTCAACAAGCACGTTATAAACATGCCTGAGTTCGTCGAATCCCATACCGTCGCCCTTTCTACTCTCCTGCGGATACTGCTCCCGAACAACATCTGCCCGGAGATGAGTGAACGCAAGCATGATAAGCTCCTTCGACCAAGGGCAAGCGCGCATTCCGCGGTAAAAGACATTCTTAGCTCGTTGAATATCGTTACGAGACAGTTCGAAGAGAATGTAGAGTTTCCAGATGGTGATGCTGGAGTGGCCGGTGGAGGTATTAGAGCCTTGGTAGATGGTGTCACCAATGGCTTTCTCGAATGCCGCACGGACAGAGTGCATGGTTGATCCGGCGTAAGTAGGACGGTTTACTTCGGTGTATATTGAAAAGAGATGTGTCGTTATGGGAACTGGAGTGGCTGTGAGATTGTCTGTGTTGGTATTGATGCTGGTGATATCTCGTATTGTGTCGCGAACGCGCTCTTCAATGCGGAACCGGGATTCGTTCCAGGCAAACAGGGATAGGAACATGGTGTTGTGGCGAGATACTGATATGCTTTCGGATAAGAGGGAACGAATATGTGAGGGTTTGTAGATGCCACTTGTGCGGATGTGGTGATACAGGAGTCGGGCCCGGGATTGATGGAGGAGTTCGGTCGTGAAGTTTGCGAATGACTTGGACTGGTCGGGTAGGGCAGCTAGCCTGGCGAATGCATTGTGATAGTATTTCAGGGACCTTCTTAGATCGAGGGAATTGGAGAGGTACGATAGGATAGCTAGGCAGTCTATGCACGACGTGAAGACGATAGGCTTCTCGTTCGCAAGACCAATTTCCTGTGCTTCTGAAAGGTACTGGATGGAAAGTCAGCATGGTGGAAGGGCCGGTAAATTTGGTAAACATACACTATGTATCTTCAGCAAACTTGTCGGGCTGAAGGACGGGTGACTGGAAGCATCGGAAAGGATCTTCAGATCAATGCTATTCTGGGGCATCGAAAGGAGGAGATGAGATGCTTGGGCCGCATTTCCAGCGTCGAGAAGCTCCCAAATCCAGGTGTGCCACACAATAATACTATCCACCCTGTCGCGATCAGGGAAGGACTTGCTCATAGAGAGGGAAGTCGCCCATACATGATCTGCAGCTGCTTGATTGCCGAAGCGCCGCTCTATCAGAGCGTAAGCATTGTAAAGTCGCAGGCTAGACGATCGCTTCTTGAGCAGCGATTTCGCGAATTTTCTCGCATCCTTGCTTTTACACGCAAGTTCAAGAGCAAGACCGTATTCGGCTAGATCATCATCTTCAGGCTGCGCTTCTATCAACGAGCGGACGGCTCTGCGAATCCACACAGGGTCGACATCGGATTGTGACTTAGAAGTGGCGTCGCTCCAGGTTTTAAGGGCAGAAAACCATTTAGCAGGATCGGCAAACAAAGTATCCAGCGTAATTATATAGTTTTGATGAGGGAAAAGAATAGGAGATGCGACGGTGGGCTCCATGTCAGCGGCCACACCAGGGAGCCAGTCCGCAAGCGTTGCATAAAAATTGCTTGCAAATTCGTTCTGCACGAAGCCATCCCCGTTCCAGCGACTTGTCGTACCCCAATTGTCAACCGACGAAACGGGTGGAAGATGGGAAAAATAGAAGAAGCTATCAATCAACACTCCTACAAGCGTTGGCTGCCATGCCAGCGACAGAATCTCTTCGAGATCAGGTGCAATAATGACTCTGTAGGGGTCATCTTCCTCCGAATCATCAATACTGCGGGCTGGCAACCGAGCATTGACGATTCGTTCCCGTTCGGACGGTGCCCAGGAGGCAAACACGGCTTTTGGGTTCAGTTGAAATTGAAACTTTTCGCTGGAATTCGCATTTCGCAGCACATTTCCCTCGTTCTTCCACCCTTTGGCGCCCACTTCTCCGATGCGGGAGACCTCCGACTCCCAGTACTCCAGAAAAGCTGGTATTACCTCTTCTGGGCCTTTGCTTCCATCAAGCGAGCCGGGTCGGTAGAAAGTCAGCTCCAAAAGACCTTGCCAGAGAGCCGCGGCATGCTCTGTAAACCCAGCTTCCCGGATGAACAATGTCAACCTAAGGAACAGATAAAAGTGGATCTGGGTCTTCTCGGGTTTGTCGAAAGAAGACTTATTGAGTCTCAGACACTCCAGAAAGGTTGCAAGGCACCGCTCATACGTGAAGTCCAGAAATTCAGTTTGACGAAAGTCGAGATATCGGATCCAAAGGTTGATGTACTCGGAATTTGATTTCAGTATCGTCTGCCACTCAGCCGATAGCTTCTTAGTGTCCCAGAGTTTTGCCCCTTCTTCGAGAAGGCCGAGCAGGAGGCGATCCTTTGCAGGGCTCGGTCCGACCTTTTTCAGTGCTTTCTCGTACAATGATAGCTTGATGTCGGCTAAGCCCATCTTTTCTGCGTATGTCAAAGAGCCAAATTCCCTCTCCGGTCCTCGGAGGAGCGACTCCTGATGGTCGATAAGCGTTAGCCATGCAGAGACATCATCAGGGTGTTTCTCGACAATCTGCAGTAACTCCGCATTGCGCTCCTTGATCTCATGGTCGGGGTCACGCCGGCCGCCCTCTTTATCCGAATCCGTATCGGACACGGCTTCAACATCACTGGGCAAGTCATCCTCTGGCTTAGCTTTGCCGTGAATTGACCGATACGCGTGTTTGTCATCATCCGAGTCGACTTCTAACAGATCCAGGTGCTTCCCATTCCTAGACACACTCAGGGAAATGTAGTCTCGTGACGTTTCTGCGGCTGCATCCACCAGCGATTCGGGCCGTATTCGAAGTAGTCGGGATCTACCCTTGTCTAGTTCTGCGAGCAGATTCTTCGTCTTCTTCTTTGACTTTCCCTCTTTCTTTTCGTTCGTGACGATCAACACGTCCTCGACAGCGCTTTCCCGGTCGATCTTATAGCTGGAAGGCAATCCCAAGACGTTGCCCCGACCAACGCGATAATATTGTGGAACGCTATATCGATGTAACGTTCCATATATGAGGTTGTAGCGATCGCCCTTGCTATCTATAACATACAAATCCGAGGCTTCCTCGGGCGGGTGCTTCACGGTGCGGGTCGATGTGGATGCTCTTGGATATTCGGGGGTGGGCTCTCGGCGGCGATGACTTGCTTCTTTTCGAGAGGACCGATGCTCCCTATGGCTCCTATGACGTTCTCGGGACCTAGAACGGTCATGATGGCTGCTATGTCTCGACCGATGCCTCGAGTGGTGGCTAGACTTCACATCGCGGTCGGAGGTGTCGCGACTGGGGCGCCCGGGCGGCCGATCAGCTTCGGACGGAGGTGCTGGCCGCGGCTTGAAGCTGGCGAAGCGGGGGATGGATTTCTTTTCCTAATGTGAAGTTTAAATTAGCATCATACGAGTAGATAGAGCGCAATATTTGAGTCAAACATACCTGGGAGCCAGACGAATCCATGCTCCTGGAGAGGTGAGGCCTGCCTTTTTGAGGGGGAGCTTCAACCAAAGGCGGCGGCGATGGCAGGCTGGAAAAACTAGGTTCCCGCTTCCCGCATTTTTTTCCGGTTTGGTTCCAACGGCTTCAAAAAAAAGTTGCTCCGAGCCATTCGAGATCTCCACGCTGCTCGGGGAATTACTGCCCGCCAACGCTTGGGGTCTTGACAAAAGTTTTTCGGTGTTGATATTTGAGGGATGGATGTGATTTGCAGTTATCGATAAACAAATTTTTTCATCGTCAACATGGCCTCGTCCCTCGCCGCGCAGCTGTCGCAGATCGCGGCAAAGTCGACAAATCAGTTGAACCTCAAAGCGCAGCGCATTGCGCACTCGCAGTCTCTTATCTTTGACTGGAAGACCGCCACTACACAGGATTTCGATACCGTCTACCAAATATGCTTCGAAGGTTTCCAGGAGTTATGTCAGCTCGATCCTCGTTTCGCGTCGTTCGAGCGCACCATCTTCAGCGAACAGAGCAAGGCGGAGGACCGAACAGAGATGAACGCTGCTCAGAATAAGGAGCTGGACACTGTTCTGGAGGCTTTCCTTGCCCTTGTTGGAGGTCATTTGCTGCTGAGTCCGGCCGTGAAAGCCGTTGACTGGCTTATCCGGCGTTTTCGGTATGTCTGGCATGGGGACTCGATCTTCATTCAACGCGCTAACAGGCTTATAGGGTGCATGAGTATAACACAGAATTCACAATCCTCACTTTCCTCCCTTACTATACCACCCCACTCTTCCTCAACCTCCTTTCGATCCTGCCCGAAGACCTGACGCCGACCTTCAAAATCCTCAACCCGTACAAGAAGAGCCAAATCAACCCTCCACGCCATCCTCTCGTGCACAGCGCTACTACCAACAAACACTTCCTCGCCGCTGTCAACAAATACACCCTCCAAGTCAGCAAACAGCGGGCGCATCACCATGCGCTTTTGTCGTTTTGGGCGGGAACTTTGACCGAGGCGGTTGCGGGGATGTTGGACTCGGCTCGTTCTGGCCGACGGGAACTTGAGAAGGAAAAGCATGAGGATGTTATCATGAAGGTTCTGCCGGTCCTCAACGACGGTCTGGCTCTGAAGGACGTCTCCGAGCTGGTGATTGGCTGCTACATGGTTTGCGTGGTTCTTGCACAGAAATCTTCTCTCCAAGACAAGCTTCTCGATGGACTGATGGAGGCCGTTGCCGGATCATGGACGGACGAGACTAAGGAATCGGGCCTGATTTGCTTGTCAGTCCTGGCACAGAAGAAGCCCGACGCCCGGATCCCCAAGCGCGCCCTTAAGGCGGTGCTTCGCTTGGAAGATCCCGTGCAGCAGCTGTCTGCAATCTCAGCACAGTATCCGACATCGCACTTGCTTCTTGGCTTGGTTGCGGGATGTGTCGATGATCTCTCGAAGCAGAAGGATTCATCACGTTTGGATCTGCTGTCGCTGTTGTTCGAGACCAATCTTCTGGGCGAGCAGGAAGCGGGCCAGGCCATCGCTATTATTCTCCAATCCGTCAGCCGTGCTCATACAGAGGGTGTGCTTTCCTTGGACGCTCAGACTCACCTCGCAGAACTTGTCCAGCACTTTACTCAGTCCGAATCACTCCAACCCATCTTCCAGAAAACGATCGAGGAATCCTCCATCGATGTCGCGGCACTCGAACATAACCTACAAACTGTGATCGAATCTGTACCCACCACCACACCAGCCATTGAAGACGTTGAGATGGAAGATGCCCAGCAAGAAGCAGTCGAAGATAACTTTGCCTCTGTCCTTGAGTCAGTGGCAGGCAAGAATTTGGAAGCGTCTGCTCTCAGTGCGCAATCGATGCCCGCCTATGAGAGCCTGGTGCAGACCTTTGCACTTGCTGTCGGATCCCAGGATAAATTGCAGGCTTTTGTCGACTTGCCTGGTCTCAAGAAGGCAGATGCCTCAACATCGCCACAGTACCTGTCATTCTTTATCCGCACTTTCTCCGGCTCGTACCCCATCGGCACCAGGATCACCGCACTAAACCAAATCTCGTCCCTCCTTACATCCGCTAATCCTGATGTCGATCTTCAGGCACTCCTGCCATTCCTACTGGTTGCTCTGGCAGATTCCTCGGAGAGAGTTCGGCGCGAGGCAGCGGGCGTTCTGGCCACAATTGGGAGCTTGTACAAGAAGAGCAAGAAGGGTGACGTTAACGTTTGGGCACGCGACACGATTTACGGCAAACAATCGAAGAACGTCCAGTGGATCGCCGGCCGCGATGTGCAGAAGATCGTCGAGCGCGCCTTCCTTCCCGGCCTCGAGGAATATGTCCTCGATCAAGCCCACATTGGCCGGGTACTTGAGGCCACATTGCGCGGATCTTCAACTTCCGACTCTGGCGCAACGGAACTGAAGAAGCCCCTTCGCTTGAGCCTCTTCACCTTCCTCTGCTCCCACACTGTGCAGATGCCCCTCTATGCTCCAAAATTGTCTTTGCTCAAGCTTCTTAACCGCGTTGATAAGGCCGGCGGAACAACCCGTACCAAGGAACTTGGTCCGTTCTTGAAGACGTGGCGGGATATGAAGGAGCAGGCAGCCAAGGACGTCTGTGAACGGGAGCGCGTGTCTGTCGCAGATGTCGACCGAGAGGCTGTCTTGACGGTCACCCCCAAGGACAAGGACGCTATTACTTTGCTGTTGTCTAATGTTAGCCCCTACTCGGATTCCTTACGGCCTTCTTTCGTCACAGCCATCTTCAACCGCATGAAGGCTGTTTGGGGGACTGTTCCGGAGGAGCTGCAGGTCGACGCCGCAGAGAAGCTGTTCGAGATCTCTCTCGAAGATGTCCAGACTCCACTGGTTCACGGCTGCAGGGAAGTTCTTCGCAGTGTTGAACTCACCGGTTCTGTGCTTCTCCAATTCCTTCGGAAGATCCCCGTGTCTATCACGGACATGGAGTCTCTTGGACCGGCGCCCAAGCGGAGACGCACTAGTCAGAACAACATGGTGGCTATGACCATCAAGGATGAAGCCAAGCTCAGCCAGCTCATGGAGAAGATGACTTTCATCCTGGAACTGGTCGACAGCTCGACCCCTGAGGCTCATCCTGAGTTGGCCGATGGATTGTTCCAGACTTTGGCCGCACTTCATCATTTCAAGGCCCAGATCCAGTCTGGCTTGAGCTACTTGCTGAGCTTGACGCTTGGCAGCCTTCTTGCCATCGTCAATCGGTCCAAGGGAACTGCAAAGGCTCAATTCGACACCTCCGTTATCCGGGCCGACCTCGTTGTTGACTGTGTTCGTACCACTGACAGCCCGCAAGTACAGAACGCAGCTCTTCTGCTCGTCGCGGGCTTGTCCGTCATTGCTCCTGAATTGGTTCTCCACAGCGTGATGCCCATCTTCACCTTCATGGGCTCTAGTGTCCTGCGCAAGGACGATGAATACTCAGTCTCCGTGATCGATCAGACAATCGATCAAGTTGTCCCCGCTCTCATCCAGTCCCTGCGCAACCAGAAGCGTGATGTTGTGTCCGGAACTTCCGAGTTGTTGCTCAGCTTCACTGCTGCCTTTGAGCATATTCCTTCTCACCGCCGCCTGCGTTTGTTCCATGCTTTGGTCACCAAGCTCGGAACTCAGGAGTTCTTGTTCGCGGTTCTGGCCATGCTCGCCAATCGGTATGCTCTGGATAAGGATGTTCTCATCCTGATGACCGGGTTGGTATCTGATGCTAGTGCACCGGTTGAACTCAGCGTAAGTCATTTGATATTGCATGCATCTTTGCACTTCATTGCTGACTTCTTCAATAGACATACAGCAAATACTTGGACCTGGTCAAGGATTCACTCAGCTCCAAGCCCGGTATCTCCCAAGTTCTTCTCGGCATTGGTAGCGACGATGGCCGCGAGCCCCAGAAGGTTGCAGTTGACTTGCTTCGCGCACTGGCTTATCTGTTCAAGCACTCGTCTCTGAAGGTGAAGATGGCCAAGGATTTCGCAACAGAGGAAGACAAGGTTGTTGGACAGATCCGCACGCTTTTCTCTCGCATTCTGGAGCAGGTCCTGGCCATTGGCGAATCCATGCAGAACGTCAAGCCTGTCAGCCAGGCCAGCGGCGATGTTCTCAGCGCTCTGTTTGGTACCCTGTCGCTCGTGGACTTCCTCGACACGATTGAGGTGCTGCTGCAACGTCGCAACGACGAACTGCGTCGTAAGGTTCTCCGACTTCTGGAAGGTCGCCTCCGTCAGAATCCTGAACGCGACGGTGCCTCGCAACACCGCATGCTCGACTTCCTGCCCACTCTGGTTAACATCGTCCAGTCATCGCCAGACATTCTCCTTAAGCACGCTGCAGTGGCCTGTATCGATCGCATTGCCGAGAAGTACGGCCGGAAGGAGCCGACCAAGGTCATCCATGCTGCCCAAGTGGTTGCTAGCGAAGCCTGCATTGGACAGGATGATGAGCGTATTCGCATCATGGGTGTCTTGTGTCTCGCATCTATGGCCGAGGTCCTTGGAGAGGCCATGATTCCCGCGCTTCCTGACGCCCTCAGCCGTTCCCTTGCCCTGCTCGAGCAGAGTCTGGAAGATGAAAAGGAGAATGCACGCCTGCACGACGCCGTCTTCTCTTTCTTCTCTGCACTTTTCATCCATATCCCCTTCATGGTGTCTGGCTCTCACCTGGACAAGATTCTTGTTCTCTCTTACAAGTCTGCTGTTTCTGAGGGTATTGAGGATGAGAGCCGCGAAGAAGCTCTCCAACTCATGGCACGCAAAGTTGATGTGGCTGCTACATTCGCTGCTATCGATCGCAACTGGCAGCATGCTGTCAAGGCAGGCCCCGACGCTACGAGAGAGACTCTGGGCGTCGTTAGCCTTGCTATCGAGAAGCACCAGAAGTCTGCGACTGTTAAGAACATTTCAGTTCTCACCAGCATCCTGTTCAAGGCATTCGACCTGCGTCGCGAACAAGTATCTCTGGATACCCAGGCCAACTTCGAATTGTCTGATGTGGACGAGATCGAGGATATCATCAACGAAGTCACGATCAAGATGATTTACAAGCTTAACGACACGACATTCCGCCCTATTTTCACCAAGCTGCTGGAGTGGGCGACCACTGGTGTTCCGAAGAAGGATGCCCGAGGCAGCCTAGCACGCCTTACCACGTTCTACAGGTTCCTCCAAGTCTTCTTTGGTACCCTCCAGGTATGTTTCTCCTTTAATTTCCCGACTCGGCCTTGTGCTAACCAATGCAGTCCATCGTTACCGGTTACTCGAGCTACATCCTCGAAAATGTGGTCTCTGTCCTGGGCAAGGCGAACCCCGCGAACCAGGACACCAAGAGCCTGTGGTTGGCCACGATGCGCATGCTCAAGAACTCCTTTGAGCATGACCAAGACGGTATGTTTAGCCTAAATTATTCTGACGCAGTGTGCTGACTTGTTTAAGAATTCTGGCAATCCCCCTCTCACCTTACGGTGATCGCACAGCCTTTGATCTCTCAGCTCGCCCACGCCAAGAACTCGTCGACGGCATCCATCGTCATCGCGGAAGCCGTGCCCGCCCTCACGGAACTCGCCGTTGCTGCCGATTCCACCGACAACCACAAGGAGCTCAACATGGTGCTGATGCGTCTGCTCCGCCCCTCTGCCGGACCCAGCGGCAAGACCGCAGGCGGCGAGAACCCGCACACGCGCCTCGCTGCGCTCAAGGCCCAGCAGTCTCTCACGGAGCAGCTCGGCGAGGAATGGCTTGCTCTCCTGCCTGAAATGCTGCCCTACATCAGTGAACTGATGGAGGACGAGGATGAGAATGTGGAGAGAGAAGTCCGCAAATGGGTGAAGCAGATCGAGGATGTTCTGGGTGAGCGGTTGGATGACATGTTGACTTGATCGTGAGTACATTTTACTATCTAGACTTGGATGTTTGGCGTACTTGGTTGGTGCTTGTAAATAAAAGTTACAGGACTTTTCGTCGCTTTCTGTTCGAGTGATCATATACCTGTTATATTAGACTATTGAAGCCTACTACTTTTCAAACTGTCTATACTTCTCCCTCTTAACGTACTTACGACTTCCTGATCTCTCGGTCTGTTCTCACCCCCGCGTCCTATGACTAATTGACCTATCCGAGGCCGCTTTCAAATGTCCGGCGTATATTTGAAAAGAAGGACGATGAAGAGGGAAGTACTGCGCTATTTAAGGAAGATACATGCCATCAGTCTTGATACGATCTTACTCATTATATCCCACCTATTCTTCCCACTCTTCGCCATTTCGCCATTTCGCCTTTCCAGACTGGGAGACTTCTAAACTCCATAAAGTTGTCGAGGGATGCCTTTGCAACCAGTCAAGTCTTACAAGTATAATGAGACTGCCTCTTTCAGGATGTACCTGAGCATCCTACGAGCCAGTATATATCTGCCAGTAGTTACGATGGCCCTAGCCTCGTTGGCAACTGACTCCCTGATGTCCCTTCTAACCAATATTGAATCGACGGAAATAACTGCCAAGACCACCTTCACCACCGAAAGCGGAAAACATACCCCAGATCCTTCTCCAACATGTACCTACCCCACCTCATATGCAAGTCACATCAATCATTTTATGTGGTATGCAGATCGGACAAGGTCGTTTGACCCTTGTGAACACGTCAGTTTTGGGCACCCATACTCGACGTCCGTCTTCAAGTAAGATGATGTCACCACCACTTTGTTCACAGCAACTGTTACTCCAAATGCCCTTTCAACAACCCCACTATAAAGGAGAGCAATACCCTTTCTTCTATTCCAACCTTAATCCAACTTCCTGATTACTCCAACTTTACATGAGAAAGTAATCAACCACCCAAAATGCAACCCCTCCTCCTCCACGCACACGCCACGGGCCCCAACCCCATCAAGATCGCCATCGCCCTCGAAGCCCTGCAGATTCCCTACAACGTCAAACTGTGGGAATTCGGCGACGACCGAGAAAAGGGTGTCAAGGGTGAGGTCTTCCTCAAGATCAACGAGAACGGCCGTGTACCAGCCCTTGAAGATCCCAACACCGGTGTGGTGTCCTGGGAATCGGGCGCTGTTATGAACTATGTCCGGCGAATCTATGACAAGGACAATCTTCTAGGACCGAAAGGGTCAGAGCAGGATAGAGTGGACTTTGAAAAGTGGGAGTACTTTTTGCTTTCGACGCTCGGGCCGATGACGGGGCAGACGAATTGGTATAGGTATGTAGTTTTCTTTCTTTACTCATTCAGGATATGTGAGAAGGGATTTTGGACATCCTTGCTGACAAGGTTTAGGCACTATAATGGAACCAAGAATGAGGACGCTCTGCAACGGTACGCGGCGCAGACAGAGCGATGCTATGGGGTGCTGGAAGGCCAGCTGAAGAAGTCCGGCGGGCAGAGTGTCTTGCCTGGACGGATTACAGCCGTTGACTACCACTTTGAGCCTTGGGTGCGAGAGTTTGATTTTGCCGGATTGTCTCTGGAGAAATATCCTCTTATTACGCAGTGGTTGCGAGTGATGACTGGTCGGAAGGAGGTTCAGCAGGCTTATATCAAGATCCAAGGGGCTGCGCCGGAGTTTAACTAATGTCGCGTTGTGATGGCTCTCTACCTTACCAGCTCTGGTGTTCTGAGAAATGAAAAGATCCGCGTTGCATTATTTTATGACTGGAGATATCCGTATGTAGGTTCAGGTCTCCGGAGGAAGGAGAGACTGTAAGTAGAGGCCTTGTAGAAGCAAGAGGCAGGAACAGTGTCTTCTGGCGCTTGAATCCTCAAAGCAACATCATCTCAAACCTTTCTGCGCAGACTTTAATTCTAGCAGGGTTTCTAACTGCTCTCATTACCCCGTTCATTTTAATCATACTTATAATAACAACATTATGGAAAATATTGGTACCAGTCCCTCTTGCGAAGGCAATGACAAAGGCGAAAATGCCGTCCTCAACACATTCGACCTCTATCTCGACAACATCGACGAGACCACCGTTGTGCCCAGCGAGAGACACAGGGAAGATTCGCCACTTGACGAAGAATTATCACAGATAAGACTACCTGCGAGTTTCAATATGGCTCCACCCATCTCAACACATATCGAGAACTGACCCACAATTAGGCTAATTCCGTACATCTAGGTGGCCTCATGGATGATTACAGTCAAGCCCTTGGAACAGGACAGGAATGCGCGGAAATGGCGTTTCCCAGACTAGATGCCATCCTCTTTCTACTGCTAGCCGAAATGAAGAAGAGATACCCCACGGCCTTGCAACCCTCCGATTATACACCGAGCTTTTTCAGTCAGGTTCCTTTCGTTGTGGACCGTCGGGTTGCGGGAGTACCTGATTCTTATCAGGAAACGGTGGACTACATGCTGTGTTATGGATCGATTCCGGCTTTGGAAACGAATCTTCTGGTGTTTAGGGATAAGGTGCTTCATTCGGATGCGAGGACTCGCACGGCCATTTGTGAGATTCAGGCTAGAACCAGTATTTTCTTTACGCCTTTTGCTAAATATTGGATTCAGCGGTGATTAATCGGGTTCGGAGAAACAACCGCTTCAAGGCAGCCATTTATGGCATTTACACCAATTCCTATCAATGGACTTTTCTGAATTACGATGACAATGGAGTGGTATTGTGAACCCTTCTTTTACTTGATCCATCCGCTTAGTTCGAATCTTGATAAGCTAACGTTATTGCGATAAAGTGCGCCGTGCTAGAGCTGCGGTGGAAAGAGTCCCAGCAAACGATAATTTCTCGCATCTGCAAAATATATCTCGAGGCGATCGCTTTGGCTGCTGAAGTGAGGTGAATCATCCGATTTCTCCATGACATGCGGGACAATAGCTGTCGGGCTTGAGGGTAGTTTTTAGTTAGTTTTAGTTTAGTTTATATTCTTTAACCTGATGCAGCCGCCTGTCTGCGTGTGCTGCTATATAACTCATACTCCCTGCCTGGTATCAAAGCTTCCCAGCTCTGTAATAGAATTCCAATATAATAATTGAATGGACAGATCCTTGTATAAAGTCCAGAAGCTTTTATACAGACAGATATTTGCGGCAACTTCTCCTAGACATTTTTTTGCATCGATATCTCTCGGTAGAGTAGATACCCGTGATAGGAGTTGAACCTATAGTCTGTAAATACCAAGAAGAAGGCCCCCTATCTCTTCTGGTATAAGTAGAGACTTCCTGGTGATATTCTACCATTATGCACTGCAGGCAAGTCCAAAGGAATACCGATATCCTGAATGATGATAGTGTCTGCATGAGTTCGGCGTGGCTCTGGTACGCAGTCATGTTTGTTACGGCAGCCTGTTTTTTTCCCGAGAGGTCCACGATGTATATTATTATAGCTTTGGTTTTGTTTAGTCTACTAGTACTCAATTAAGTTACTACCAGAAAGCTTTTATTGCACTGAGCTGAAAACACGCATCCGTCAATAGTAGTAGATCACAATGTACGCTGTTACTGTTATTATTATTATCTTACCCTCAGCTTGCTCTGGCAATGAGTGCTGTTCAAACCGATCGTAATCATATAGTTCTGGCGGCAATTGGGCACAAGGTTCTTCCTGGAATTGCAATCCACGACCGACTAGTTAATATACTACATTGAGTTGAAGTCGAGATTCTCCCTATGTAAGTATTGATGAAAGCCGCGTATGTCATTTACCAAGATGATAATGCGCATATCTACTCTTCACTAGGGACGTAGATCCCAATCAAGCATTCCACTCGAACTTTTTGAGGAGTTCAGTACCAATCATAGGTCACTGATATGCAGTGTAGGTAAGTAAAACGACCTTCCTATTCGGTTATCGCCTTGGCACTGTGGTCTTATTTTTCCGACATTCAAAGCTTGGTACAACGGCTAATTCGCGCATTATGCAGATCAGACCTCGGAGATACTTTGCTGTACGTACTGCCATTAGCTGGTGTGATTGTGATGTGCATGTGCTATACGATCAGCAATTGAAAGCCGTTCGGGATGCCGAGTTTGCTTTACATTTGCATGTCACAATCCCGGTTTGACATTAGGTTATTCCCGTATTTTTTTTGTTGCAATTGATAAACCTAGGTGGCAAGCCTATTGATATAGGATGCAAAATCTGCGAACAGCATCCTCGGTATAAGTGTTGGCCGCGGAAAACAGGGACGGGAAAGCGCCCAACCGGCCCGTTTCTAGGCGAAGAACAGCATCAAAAGGGTGGCACCAGTGGAGTGAAATCGGAGATCCAAAGCGGGTACTCCATACATGAGAACGGGAGGTCCCAGAAATTTTAAAGCCATTAAGAGCTCCACGAGCTCAGGAGGCGGAAATTCCGTGAAGAAAAAAGGGCCCTGATAGCGGTTAAGAGCGGAAAAGTCTGGAGCAAACCCGGCGCGGCTATTCTCGCTTGGGTGCGGAATGAAGAGAGAACGGGGCCGGGAAACCGATGTGGGATCTATAGAAGCCGAATTTGTCCTTGGTCGCTAGTTTTAAATTGATAGTAGTTCATCGCGAGAATTTAATGATTGATTGTGTCAGGGCGCATTGAAGGGCGCATTGAAATAAAAGCAAGCGAGGGTCGGAACCAACCTAAAATAGCAGTGCGAACCAGCAGGAGTGACTGGTCAGAAGAACACGGCGGTCAGCGCCAATCGGGATGGGCTTTTTACCCCGGTGGCTTGCCAACGTTGTCACTTCAAGGGCGTGGATTTTGATCCATCCGTCGTCATCAAAAACCTTTGCCGATCACCCGAGAACTTGTATTGGATGGTCTTTTGTCGCTCCGATGTCGCAGCACTTGGACACGAACAGGCTGACAAGTCACGAAGTTCAACACTAATGAATGACTGGCTGATTTGGGGTTTTCTTTCGCGTAAGGATCAGAAGGTCCGTAACTCAATGGCGTGAGATCTACCACTATCACGCGAGGGGACTGCTCGTCAAGAATGTTCGAGCTGTTGTGACCAGACTCTTGCAGGTAGACCAAACTCTTAAGCAAATAGACGCGTATAGAACAACCCTGCAAAATAATAAGAGTCGTTCTAGTAGACCGACAATCATGGAAGATCAGCTAGCACTGGCGTCATTCGCATTCCTCTGGTGGGCATCAAACCTGGTTACGAACCAATTTGCTGTAGGGCGTGGAGGGCTTTGCTGGTCGGCAGTTGTCATCAAAGGGCGCGATGGGAAGCCCGCCAATCGCTGCTTTCCCGAGCGACTGACTTCACACACGGACTTCATTCCATGGACTCCATCGCATTGGTCGGTCCCGGTGCAGGATGCTCGTCGACCTATCAGCTTGCCCGGGCGCTTCGTTTTTAGGCTTTTCTCGTTCTTTCGGTCCCCTAACCTGCATGTTTCTGGACCGCTTCTAACATCCCCTTGGATCGAATATCAAAGCAATCACCACGTGCACGTGCATGTTCAGCATGACTCACAGAAGAGGGTGGAAGGCGGGTAGGCGATGCTTGCATCGTCAAGTTGGAAAGTGAAAAAGTACATATTCAAGGCAGGATGCAATGCAAGCCCGAGAATAGCCAGAGACTCAAATAACAAAACCGGAAGTTGTTCCTGAACAGCATCAGATCCAGTTCTCGAACATTGAACTGCTCCACCGCTGCTTTTCCATTACCCAACGGCAACTGCCGGTCACCCCATCCCTACATTCACCCTTGAATTTTTATTCTTTTTTTTATTACTGTTTTCTATTTTTTATTATCTCCTTTTTTTCAACAAGACATTAAATATATTAAAAAGCTTTTACTCCGCAGTCTTTCTGCCCAGATTTTCTTTTCTCCATCATTGCAGTCTCCCACTACAACCCTACCAGTTGCTTATCCCTGGGTGAATTGGTGATTCGTTCGCCAATCCCCTTCTATACTACCAACAGCTACCACCGCGGGTTACTTTGTACACATACAATTGGATCTTCTACACCTGCAATGGCTACCTCATCGATCATCACGCGCGGCTCCAGCTCCCTTGCCAACTTTACGGTTCGCTCCCGCCCTAAGGTTGATATCATCCTCGCCAATCAAACGGATGGCTTGGTCCCTTCATTCACCACCGGAGATACCATCAAGGGTACGGTTACCATCACGGTCGATCATGATACTCGCTTTGATGACCTAGAGATTACATTCGAGGGTATGTTGGCTCAAAGAACACCAGGAGAATACCAGGGATAGTCATACTGACTGGCTCAGGAACATCGAGGACCTCGGTGGAGCGCCAATCGATGCCCGGCCGGACTGGAGCTTACCATACATTCCTCCGACTGCGACAACCCATCGATGAGTCCGCATATCCCACCCCCCGGGTTCTTGAACCCGGGCGCAACTACGAATTCCCCTTCACCTTTGTGGTACCTGAGCGTCTACTGCCTCATATCTGTAACCACGCCAAAACCAATCTGCATGTCGAACAATCGCACACGCTGCTGCCCCCCACGTTTGGTGATCCCATGATAGCCAGCAACCGCAAATCGGTCATCGACGACATGGCCCCCGAAATGTGCCGCATCTCCTATCTCGTTCGTGTGACCCTCCAGAGAAAGCCCATGGCCCAGAACGCCTCCCCGGTTACGCTAGTGTCCGTTGGGAAAAAGGTACGGGTCATTCCTGCGGTGGATGAGGAACCACCCCTTAATGTGGAGGACAATGATGGCTTCTACAGCGTCCGCAAAGAAAAGGATGTGAAACGTGGCTTAATGAGGGGGAAGTTGGGCCGATTGGTGCTGGCTGCCGCACAGCCCAAGCCAGTGCAGTTGAGTCCATCCGACACCGGGAGCTGCGATTCAGTGAGCACCGTTGCCACGATGCAGCTACGCTTCGATCCGGTGGGCAACGAGCAGCCTCCTCGCCTAGGAACTGTATGGAGCAAACTCCGAGTGTCGACCTTTTACAGCTCCGATCCCTGGGGTGATTATCCATCCGCGGCCTGTCTCAAATCCTGGGCGCAGATGGGCCGCGCAATGTACACCGAGACTGTACCACTGTCCACCATGTGCGTTGCATCCGCACAATGGACCAAACACACCGACACTGACACCGATCTCGAACGCCGTGACTCCATGCACTCGACCTCCTCTACTGACTCATTACCGGGTCCATCTGCCTCGTTCGCCGGAAACACCTACTATACCGCGTCGGTCGTTGTGCCAGTCACCCTCCCCAAAGCCAAGTCATTTGTGCCGACGTTCTACTCCTGCTTGATCGCGCGCGCCTACGCCCTGGAACTTAGCGTCTCTTACCACGCCGCCAATTCTAGAATCCTGACGCCCACCGCATCCCTGAAGGTCCCACTTCAGCTGACCTGCGAAGCACAGCCAGGCACCGGAGCTAAGGGCACCGTGGTCGACATTTCCCAGGATGAAGTGAACACGCAGTTTTTCAGCCCGCGCAGCATTGCGCCCCCATCTGTCTCCGAGCTCGTTCCTATTGCACCACCCGCGTATACGTCCGTCCAGGTTTCCAACCTGCCTCCTGATCGCTCGAGAATGTTACCACCATCGGTGACCAACTCCGGCAGCGTTAGAGTTTAGGGACGCCCTGCCACTGCGTTGCTGCCAAGGCAACACATAGTTCCCAGGGGTGAACCCAGATATTACGTTCTTTTGTTTCTATTGGCGTTCTGGTTTCATGTGGTTACAATATACCCAGGTTTGCAAAAGCAGAAAAAGTTTGTTATTCGGGGATACCCAGCATGATGTTGATTTACCAGGCATTTGCATATGGCTTGATTGGGGAATGAAATCCCATTATACTTTAATTAATTAATGAATGATTATAGTCGTTGGAATTGTGAATGGAAGATACTATACATACCCTCCCCCAAATCCTACCTGTACCCTCGCTCTTTACCTGATTAGGTTTAGCACGGGTCACTTGAGCTCAGGGGACCCATTGTTACCACTTACCTTAAATAGGAAACTAGGCGTTTTAATTACTTACTATGTTTTAGTAGGTGAAATCACGTGATAGTATTTACAAACTGTAATTAGATATGTTGCCCATAAGAGACTAGCCCTGGAGCTAGTTTATAAAGGGTAAGGAAGGGTAACAAGTAGACTTTGGGGGGCTAGGTATAGTATCTTCCTTGAATCATGACCAACAGTTCCTCTATCGTAAACCTGTAGTGGTAACTCTGGGAGTTTCATCTAGACGCAGTATGAATGCACTGACAGTGGCGACGGCGTTTCAGCTCCGTGATTGATTGATGAGTTCTACTGTAATCCCTGCTCGAGCCTCAGATGATGTTGTCTGGTGGCTATGCAGACATCGAATGACTAGAATACAAGGTCCGCAGGCGATCCGCTACGTCGCAGAATTCATGCTGCAAACAGGCTTACTCGGGCAGTTCAGCCAGGTCGAACTCCATCCTGACCCTGAACAGGCAGTGCTGACCCAAGCCAGGAACACGTAGGCCTCAGGGCCATGGGGATAGACGCTGAAGACGCTGGGTAGAGGGAACAAAACACGCCCTGTTTGAGTCAGTAGGGAAGACGAAACGTGCAGAAGAAACAGGCATGTTGGAAGTAAGATAATGGACGAAGAACGAAGAGGATGGTGGCTTGCAGCCAGCCAGCCGGCTGCGACACTTGTTTGATACTTCTACTGTTGCATGACTATGCTTTTGCTTTTGCTTTTACTGTTTAGTTGTGTTAGCTATGATTATGACTTTCCTACGTCGTGGCACGCGTTGATTTATGTGTTCTACATGTGTTTACTGCAATCTTGAGGGCATTGAAGGCGTTCGGGGCCATATCCTTGCTTCAAACGGTGAAGCACCTGCATAGCTAACATCTACCTACACCGGCTCGATCGGGTATAAGAATATGAATTGAGTTGAATTGAATGACTAGAATACACGCGGCGACCTATTGTATGAGTTATTGCACTCAGTATAGACCGGCAGTGAAAGAGACACGAAATATAACTAGACTCCATGATCACGTTCTCTCTGACTAGTATTCTCTGATTGCAACGAGCACCCTCCCAAAGAGAAATGAAGGCGCTCTACCTCTACGTCTTCGGATCGCATGTAATTAGATCAAGATCATCACCTTCCCGAACTCAGAATGCAATACATTTGATCCCTTTCTTGTTTCTACTACGTTAGATCGAGCCTCTGAGCTCATTAGATTGCGTGCCTGACGGCCTAGATCAGGACGAACGGCGCACTGATGCTGGATGTATATTCGATTACCCCGTCCACCTAGCGTTTCAGGCCCCACTCATATTCCGGGGTAACCAACCTCCGAACAAAGGCGGGACCTGCATCGGCCTGCCTGATCCGGTTCTCGGCGAGGCTATTCCCATTTATTGCAGGGTTACACAAGCCCCTCCAATTTGTGTGCGGATCAGCCACTCCCTCTTCGGTCTTCTTTCACGGTGCCTGCAGCACCTGATGCATCCACACTGTTGAGCAAGCCACTCCTGCCATACCGGAAATTTATCTCCGCTTATGAGGTGGTAACTTACTTCAGAATGTCCCCACTGGTTAATATATGGATGCTGTCGACGATTTCACGGCCTCAGGCCTTCATTAAGGTTATAGTAGCACATCTCCCTCCGCGCTTCAAATCGGCAGATGAAGTCTCATATAGACCCAATATGGCAAGAATAACCATGGGTCAAAACACTTGTCATGTTTCAAACACCATCAGTCCCCATTGTTAATTATTTCCACTTACCAGGCCAATAGATTGTGTGCTGACAGGGGAAGATGGTTGGTGACCTCTTTGAAGTCATTCACAAAAATGTTGTGGTTACATTCATGCAAGTCTGCTTTCACCGCTGGTGACAGATTTCTTCAAGCACATCAGCAGCACAGACAAACAGAGAATGAATATAAGTATGCGAGCAGATGACCCTCCGTCACTCTCTACCTGCACTACATGTCGACTGGTTCGCTCTGCATTTACATTCCTTCTCAATCTTGTTTTGCTATATCAAGGCTGACTCTCCTTCAACCTCTCCATTCACCCATTCTATTCCATTCTTGTTGATCATTTTTGGATCTTTCATCTTGTAACATGAAGCTTTTCTCTCTTCTACTTGTGGCCTTGGTCTCGGTGGTCAGCAGTGCTCACCATCACCGCCACCGCCACGGCATTAGTGATCTTGATCCAGCTAAATTTCCCGGACCTAGCCACCTTGAGCCTGGCACCCACCACCTGATACCGCGCAACACCAGCGCGGAATACAAGTCCATTGCTTACTTTGTGAGCTGGGTGAGTTACCTCGTCCTCCTATCGATACATTCCTTTGGTGTTATACTGATTGATAAAAGGCAATCTACGCCAGGAACCACACCCCGCAGGAAATCCCCGTCGATAAACTGACCCATATTATGTACGCATTCGCCAACGTCACCTCCAGCGGCGACGTTGCCCTAGCCGATCCATGGTCCGACGTCAATAAACACTTCCCCGGTGATTCATGGAATGATGTCGGAAACAACGTTTACGGATGTGTCAAGCAACTCAACCTCCTGAAGCAGAAGAATCGCAATCTCAAGGTGCTTCTATCGATTGGAGGCTGGACATACTCACCTCATTTTGTGATTCCGGCGAGTACGGATCAAGGCAGGAAGACATTTGCTTCTTCGGCTGTCAAGTTGCTGGCCGACTTGGGTTTTGATGGATTGGATATAGATTGGGAGGTATATACCTAGTATATGATGGTTATGGGTACGTCTTTATTACCGTGCTAATACACCTACCTCCGTAGTACCCTGCCAACGAGGCCCAAGCCTCAGACATGGTATTACTCCTACGCGAGGTTCGCGAGGTACGCTTTCCCTCCCCATTACCATACCCATCAAGCACCCACTAACCCTAAGCAGGAACTAGACAAATACAGCCGCGAACACGGCAACGGCACGCACTTCCTCCTCAGCATAGCTACCTCAGCAGGTCCCTCCAAATACAACACCCTCCACATATCCGCCATGAACCCCTACCTCGACTTCTGGAATGTAATGGCCTACGACTACGCCGGCAGCTGGGACACAACTGCAGGCCACCAGGCCAACCTCTACTTCTCACGAGACGACCCCAATTCAACACCCTTCCACACAGAGCAAGCCATTTCCGCATACGTAGCCGCCGGCGTTCCCGCCCATAAACTCATCCTCGGTATGCCGCTCTACGGGCGCGCCTTCTTAAACACTATAGGTCCAGGTAAGCCGTTTAATGGTATCGGTAAAGGAAGCTTCGAGGATGGGGTGTGGGATTACAAAGCGCTTCCTCCTGTGGGGGCCAATGTGTCTGAACTGAGAAGTATTGGTGCAAGTTACTCGTTTGATGCTGCCAAACGGACGATGATCAGCTATGATACGCCTGCTATTGCTAGGCAGAAGGCGGAGTATATCAGGAATAAGGGCCTGGGGGGTGCCATGTGGTGGGAGACTTCGGCGGATAAGGCTGGGGCGGAGAGTTTGATTACTACGGTCGTGGATTCTCTAGGTGGTACCGGCGCTCTGGAAAGGTCGGAGAATCATCTGGAGTATCCGGCGTCGCAGTATGATAATGTGCGGAAAGGGTTTCATTGAGTGATACAGGTTGTTGTGACACGATAGATTGTGTGAGCTTGTGAGAAGAGATTATGGTTTTGTCTGTACATCTAAAATAGACGAACTCGTTGGACTATTGTCGCAAGACATTGTGGTTACTAACTAAGCAAAGTTGTATGGCGAGATGTAACAAAGAGGCACCTGACAGCGGGTCATGGGACTTCCTTGCAATTACTTGTGTCTCTTCTTCCTTAAACTCACACCTTCCCCTTGTTTTTCATCACTAACGGCAGCACTCAGTCTCAAATGAATCAGCAGAGAGATGATGAGTCTTGTTCTACACCTGACCTCTTGTTATCGAGGAGAATATACCCATCATTCTGTTGGAAACCTTACAAACATCTCTGGGCTAAATGAAGCCCATAACGTGCACGGGAGGAGTAATGAGAGCTCCAGATCCAAATGGCCTCTTTTTAAGTTTAAAAGTGAATCCAGGGACCAATAGCCAAAACATCCCAACCCACCATGACGGATCTTTGCTGATAACAAGTTCCTGCAGGAATCGGAACCAGATAGCGGGAAACTGATCCTCCGCCAAGTACGATAAAGGAAGATCATCCTGTCAGCACGGTGGGATGCCCCGGGGAAGTATAACCGGGCGCAACTGAACCACCATTTCGTCTCATCCCGCAACCCCTCCACCCCTCACTACAGACCAAATAATCAGAATCACCATGACTATCACAGAAGTGCCAGCCAAAGATTGGCGTGTCATTGTCGCTGAAAGACGTAAAGACCTCGACTCTAAGATCCCCTCCGAGTGGCGGCTTAAGGAGGACTTTGTTTCTTCGCTCCCTCGTCCTACGCATCTCTTGGCCTCCAATGCTGTTGAGAAGAGTGGAATCCTCACAGATGCCGAGCTAGATATTACTGGCAGCTATGATGCCTCGCAATTGCTCAAGAAACTTGCCTCTGGCGAGCTAAGTTCCGTGGCCGTTACGACCGCGTTCTGCAAGCGGGCGGCTGTTGCGCAGCAATTGGTGGGTTGTCCAAGATCAATTTACCTGGATGCTAGACTAACATGTGGTAGACTTCATGCTTGACGGAGCATTTCTTCGACTTCGCTCTAGAACGCGCCAAGTACCTTGACGACTATCTCAAGCGGGAGAAGAAAGTCCTCGGACCGCTGCATGGCCTTCCGATCAGTCTGAAAGATAGCTACCATGTGAAAGGATACCATACCACCATTGGATATGTGTCATTCCTCGGGCATGGTCCTGCAACCACGAACTCGGCTGTAGTAGATATGCTACTTGATTTGGGCGCGGTGCTGTACGTGAAGACAAACGTCCCTCAAACGATGCTGGTAAGCCTCTTCGCCAACGCGTTACCATGCACAACTGACACCTCCAGACCGCCGACTCAGACAACAACATCTACGGACGTACCCTCAACCCCCACAACACAGCCCTCACAGCCGGTGGTTCCACCGGCGGCGAAGGTGCTCTTCTAGCCCTCCGGGGCTCCCTCATCGGCGTCGGCACCGACGTCGCAGGCTCAATCCGCATCCCTGCGCTCTGCTGCGGCATCTACGGCTTCAAACCAACGACAGCCCGAATCCCCTACGGCGGCCAAGTCAGCTTCCTGTACGAAGGCCCCCCGTCAGTTGAACCCTGCGCCGGTCCCATGACCGCAACCTTCGAGGATCTCGAGCTCTTCATGTCCACCGTCCTCGACGCCGAGCCCTGGCGCTACGACGTGACGACCCTCGCAGCACCCTGGTCCCGCAACCCCCAGCTAACAGAGCCCCTGACAATCGGCATCCTCGCCACGGACGAGAAATACCCCCTCCACCCACCTATCAAACGTGCCCTAGAATCTGCCATTGAGGCCTTGACCCGAAAAGGCCACCGCATCGTCTACCTCGACAACGACACCAACAAAGACCTCGACATCGCCTACGCGAACCGCCTCTTCTGGCAATACGGCACCTACTCACCACACCACGACCACGTCACTCCCAGCGGTGAGCCACTAGTTATCTCTGTGGCCAAGGGGCCCTCCCCAATGGTTACCGGTGACTTCCCCGTCTCCAAAGAGCTGGGCATCTTCGAGGAGATCCACGAATTACATCACAAGAGACAAGACTATCGCGACGCATGGCGCAAGGTCTGGGTTGAGACCGGCATCGATGTAATCCTCGGTCCAGGGGCACAGAACACAGCCGTCCCGCATGATACGTACGCGTGGCCGCCCTACACTGTCGTGTGGAATCTACTCGACGTGAGTACATCCCATCCATATTGCACTATGAAACAAACCTAACAGTATGCACTACTAGTACCCAGCATGCATCATCCCATACGGCCAGGCTTCAAAGGACCTCGATCCTGAGCCCATGGCTATCAACGATGGCATGCAGCCCAGTTGTAAGTCAACCTAACTACACCTTCGCCTTAGTATGAATATGAAAAGGAAAATACTGACGAAACTCAACTAAATAGATAACCCCGACGAAGTCGACGGCGCTCCCTGCGCACTACAAATCATCACGTCCCGATTCCAGGACGAGAAATGTCTCGCTGCTGCGAGGATCATTGATCGGGACATTCGCTCGTAGGATATACAGTACTATTTGAGTGGATAATAACATACTGGATCGGGTAGTACGGCAAAATTTGGTACTTACTGCTTAGTTGTAGTGGCTATTTAGGCAAGGTTGGTCATACATCGTAGTAGTCTCATGTGTGATGGATATACATATCGGGGACTTCACTGCAATGTGATACTACTTCTACTACTCACTAGTAGTTTGCTGGGCAGTGCTAATAGCACTAGAACTACAAGGACATGATAGCTGAATATATATTTGAAGTGTTCTACTACACGTAAATGTACTTAGAATATAGTACTGCACGCAGTAAATCAAAGCGAAGTAAATAAGTACTAGTACTAGTATTGGTGAAATAATGGTATAGATCTTACTAGTTTTGATTTGATAGTATGGAAGGTAGTCAAATCAGACATCATTCATTATTCAAATATGGAAATATCATGGCTGAATGCCAACATCTACTGTTTCTCCTGCTGTGTTGTCTCGACGGATAAATTACGATGATACCCGTGGCATGCGGGTAAGATCGTACTCAAAGATCGTCGAAGGCTTACGCCTTATTCTTGTCTCGTACAGGCTGTATCTAATACAGACTGCATCCAGCTCAAGATCAACCGAGGGGAGCGAGAGATCGAGCGAGGCAAGAGACGTGCAATTGCTAAATGCACTACTGTATACAAGGGAGCTCGACGTACTATGCGTCACTCACCACCAACGGGTACCGGATTTAGGATAATCTGGTATTTGATGTAAATGTACATGTCTTCATGTGCAAAAGGAGAATCAACTATGGGGTATCCGAAACCCTCATACAACATTAGCCCTGGTAGACGCCGAAACCATTCAAATTAATACGCCACCCTGGTCCGCATGTCCTATAACATCATTAGTCATCTTATATGTTGATTATAGCAAAGGCAGTCTTACCGAAATCTTGCGCTCGATTTCCCGGACAGAACGGTCCAGTTCCGCTGCGATCATCATCTTCGTATCATTAGGCAATAAAAAGTACATCTCGCACAGGTCTCCGTCAATGACACCCTTGACCGGCGCATAGTAACTGCGGTAGATCAGGTGGTCCCGTCCAGCGAGAGGAGGGTGCTGTGCAGCTAACTGCATCTCCAGGTTTTGGAAGAAGTCCACATCCTCTCGGCCGATGAATGGCACCAACATGCCAATCGTGCCCTGGAAACCAGTCCAGACGAGGATGTCCCGACCACCTGCTACAAGTTGAGTCTTGTGCAAGCTCGTTGGGATGTCCTGAGTATACACATGGATCATCAGCTCCAAGCGATTGGGGGTGCCCTGGAGATAGCCGCGTTCGTGAATCAAATGCGCGCCCGATCCATCCTCATCCGCCTCTTCAGACGTCTTCTTCGGGCAACGGAGGAGCCAAAGGTTGCCAAACTTGTCACCACCGGCAGTGGTTTCATAGTCAACCATAGTGGTGGCAGTGGTCCAACGAGACACGGAATCATCCACAAACGGAATCAAAACGTTCTCTTGATACTTGTACACGACATACGTGACACTTTCGCGAACGTCGCTAACGACAATTCGAGATCCCTGGGTCTGCAGACCAACGATGGTCTTTGGCACAACCGGCGCCTGACACTTACGAAGGAGCTGTTTCATACCAAGATCATAAATGCGAAGCAATGACCCGATACCAGCAACCAGGCGGCCCTGGAATCCCAGCAAGGCAAGAGGTGGTTCCTCGACCTTGGTCTTGTGGATGAACTCCAGCTCTCTTCCATCCTCCTGGAAGCGGTAAATGTGGATATAGCCACCGGCGGATTTGGGCGGGTTGACAGTCATGTCTTTGGCTGTTCCTACCACCAGGAACGTCTCATCATCCTGGCTGGTGAATGGGACTGCAGCAATGCTAATCGCCGCCTCATTCTCTTCCAGCTCGATGGTATGAACAACTGCCTTGGCATCCAAGGGATCAACCACCTGAATACAAGAAGCCCAATGCCCTGTGGCCCGGGGGTATCCGAAGTCTTCGGGTGGAAGAACGATTTCGTCACCGCCACGAGACTTTGAATCCTCCAGCAGCTTGGCTCTGGTAGAGGGAGACAGAACATTGTTGTCAGATTCAATAACGTAGAACAACGGCTGCTCAGGATGCTTCAGGAAGCGGCGTGGAGTATACGAGAGCGGAATCGACTGTTGCAACATGTTGTTGTCCAGCTTCTCGATGGAGAAAATCCTAGCCACGCATGTTAGCTGATGTCCAGTAGATACCTCAAGGACAAATGATAGTGTAGATGAATGATCTCAGTAGGAACAATTGGAAATAGTACAAGTATAAAAGGTTCTTCCACATAGGCTTTCGGATCCCAGTTCTCATCATACGATCGATTGCAGGTGCAAAGTGGGGGAGAAAGACATGAAACGTACCGTAGATTTTGTCCCTGGATACCGACCATGCCCTCCACGCACTGTTCACTTGAAAAGTTCCAGCCCCATTCG